GATTGAATCTGTGTTTGAAATTCACTGCTCGACTGAGGGACCTTACAGATGTGTGGGTACAGAGATGAGGTAGTCATTCAAAAATCATATTAAACAATATGCAACTTATTATGTGACTTGTTAAGCACATTTTTACTTCTGAAATTATTTAGGCTTGTCATAACAAAGGGGTTGAATACTTATTGACTCAAGACATTTCAGCTTTTCATTTTTAATTCATTTGTAAAAATGTCTAAAAACATAATTCCACTTTGACATTATGGGGTATTTGACATTATTCAGGCTGTAAAACAACAAAATCTAGAAAAAGTCAAAGGATGTGAATACTTTCTGAAGGCACTGTAGGCTCCCATAAAAAGTGCCATCCATACTGTGAACCAAATCAAATCAAATTTGATTGGTTGCATACACATATTTAGCAGATGTTATTGCATGTGCAGTGAGATGCTTGTGTTCCTAGCTCCAACAATGCAGTAATATCTAACAATACACACATCTAAAAGTAAAATAATGTAATTAAGAAATATAGAAATATTAGTACGAGCAATGTCAGAGTCCGGAGTATAAATATATATAAATGTGATGGGATATATAGACATTGTGGACAGTATGTTTCCACATTTTGCTACGTTACAGCCTTTCTAAAATGGATTATATTATTTTATTTCCTCAGCAATCTACACACAACACTCCATAATGACAAAGTGAAAACAGGTTTTTAGAAATGTTTGCAAATGTATTAAAAATACCTTATTTACATAAGTCTTCAGACCCTTTGCTATGAGACTTGAAATTGAGCTCAGGTGCATCCTGTTTCTATTGATCATCCTTGTGATGTTTCTACAACTTGATTGGAGTCAACCTGTGGTAAATTCAATTGATTGGACATGATTTGGAAAGGCACACACCTGTCTATATAAGGTCCCACAGTTGACAGTGCATGTCAGAGCAAAAAGCAAGTCATGAGGTCGAAGGAATTGTCTGTAGAGCTCCAAGACAGGATTGTGTCGAGGCACAGATCTGGGGAAGGGTACCAAAAAAATTCTGCAGCATTGAAAGTCCCCAAGAACAGAGTGGCCTCCATCATTCTTAAATGGAAGAAGTCTGGAACCACCAAGACTCTTCCTATAGCTGGCCGCCCGGCCAAACTGAGCAATCGGGGGAGAAGGGCCTTGGTCAGGGAGTGGACCAAGAACCCGATGGTCACTCTGACAGAGCTCCAGAGTTCCTCTGTGGAGATGAGAGAACCTTCCAGAAGGACAACCATCTCTGATGCTCCACCAAATCAAATCAAATCAAATTGTATTGGCCACATGCGCCGAATACAACAGGTGCAGACATTACAGTTAAATGCTTACTTACAGCCCTTAACCAACAGTGCATTTATTTTTAATTTAAAAATATATATATATATATAAAACAATAGAATAAAACAAAAAAGTGTTGAGAAAAAAAGAGCAGAAGTAAAATAAAATAACAGTAGGGAGGCTATATATACAGGGGGGTACCGGTGCAGAGTCAATGTGCGGGGGCACCGGCTAGTTGAGGTAGTTGAAGTAATATGTACATGTGGGTAGAGTTAAAGTGACTATGCATAAATCATTAACAGAGTAGCAGCAGCGTAAAAAGATGGGGTGGGGGGGCAGTGCAAATAGTCCGGGTAGCCATGATTAGCTGTTCAGGAGTCTTATGGCTTGGGGGTAGAAGCTGTTGAGAAGTCACCAGTCAGGCATTTATGGTAAAGTGGCCGAGATTGAACTTTTTGGCCTGAATGCCAAGTGTCACGTCTGGAGGAAACCTGGCACCACCCCGACGGTGAAGCATGGTGGTGGCTGCATCATGCTGTGTGGATGTTTTTCATTGGCAGGGAGACTAGTCAGGATCGAGGGAAAGATGAACGGAGCAAAGTACAGCGAGATCCTTGATGAAAACCTGCTCCAGAGCACTCAGGATCTCAGACTGGGCGAAGGTTCACCTTCCAACAGGACTACGACCGTAAGCACACAGTCATGACAATGCAGGAGTGGCTTCGGGAAAAGTCTCTGAATGTCCTTGAGTGGCCCAGCCAGAGTCCGAACTTGAACCCGATCGAACATCTCTGGAGAGACCTGAAAATAGCTGTGCAGAGACGCGCCGCATTCAACCTGACAGAGCTTGAGAGGATCTGCAGAGAAGAATGGGAGAAACTCACCAAATACAGGTGTGCCAAGCTTGTAGCATCATACCCAAGGCGATTCGAGGCTGTAATCGCTGCCAAAGGTCCTTCGAGAAAGTACTGAGTAAAGGGTCTGAATACTTATGTAAATGTGATATTTCAAATTTTTTTTTTTTCTAAATTTGCTAAAATATCTTAACTTGTTTATGCTTTGTCATTATGGGGTATTATGTGTAGATTGATGAGGCAAAAAAAACAATGTAATCAATTTTAGAATAAGGCTGTAACGTAACAAAATGTGGAAAAAGTCAATGGGTCTGAATACTTTCAGAATGCACTGTATATGTACAGCAATAGTTGAATAGGAAGGCTAGATTACAGTATTTACATATGAAATGGGTAAAACAGCATGTAAACATTATTAAAGTGACCAGTGTTCCATGTCTGTGTACACAGGGCAGCAGCCTCTAAGGTGCAGGGTTGAGTAACCGGGTGGTAGCCGGCTAATGACAGTGACCAAGTTCATGGCAGGTTACTGGGTGGAGGCCGGCTGGTGATGGCCATTTAACAGTCTGATGGCCTTGAGATTGAAGCTGTTTTTCAATCTCTCGGTCCCAGCTTTGATGGACCTGTACTGACCTCGCCTTCTGGATGATAGCGCGGTGAACAGCCCGTGGCTTGTGTGGCTGAGGTCCTTGATGATCTTCTTGGCCTTCCTGTGACATCGGGTGCTGTAGATGTCCTGGAGGGCAGGCAGTGGATCCCCGGTGATGCATTGGGCAGACCGCACCACCCTCTGGAGAGCCCTGCGGATACGGACAGTACAGTTGCCATACCAGGCAGTGATACAGCCCGACAGGATGCTCTCAATGGTGCATCTGTAAAAGTTTGTGAGGGTCTTAGAGGCCAAGCCAAAATTATTCAGCCTCCTGAGGTTGGAGAGGCACAGTTGCGCCTTCTCCACCACACTGTCTGTGTGGGTGGACCATTTCACGTTCTCCACTGCGGCCCCATCGATGTGGATGGGGGCGTGCTCCCTCTGCTGTCTCCTGAAGTCCACGATCAGCTCCTTCGTTTTGTTGGTATTAAGGGAGAGGTTATTTTCCTGGCACCACTCCGCCCCCATTCACCTCCTCCAACCAGGCTGCAGGTTTTCGTCAACATATAGTGGAACTGTCAATAAGGTTATGCAACTCATGTAGAGGAGGACTCCTGGACATTTCTACCACTGTGGATCTCTTGAGGATTCTGTGAATGTGTTGTCTTATGGCCGCTGTCTTAATGATTTCATCACAAGTTGGCTCATACTAGGGAAATTGAGAAAAACACAGGCCTCTTTAGATGACGTGTCTCCACTTGCTCCGCCAAATTGTTAACTTTTCGAAGTGTCGCCACTTGCACCGCCGAATTGTTAACTTTTCGGTGGGGCAGACTGGTAAGATGCTTCGGGAGGGCGATCATGTGTGCTTGCAAAGTAGAAGTCGTGGGTCCGAACCTCGTGTGAGCCAAATCAGGAGGAAGCGGTACTTGCTAAGCAAACAGCGTGATGTCCGTTACACACAGACCAAAAGCACACAACTCAAAGACTGAACAACTTGTGAATTGATGACAATAATTTTCACATTTATGAACGTGCATGTTAATCAGGGAATTTTGAAACAAATAAAGGATTCTTACTTTTGCAAGATAAGCTAGATTCATCTCCAATTTTCCTCAACAGTTCAAACATTTTATACGATGTTCCTATAGTTCATAAAAATAACAGAAGCCGACATAATATTTTGAACACATTTTGAATAGTTCATAAAAACAACAGAAGGTGACATAATATTTGGAACACTTGTTAATGACAGTGCTCTTTGAAAGTTTCAGGTTCTGGACATAAGTAAACCATTGTGTTTGTCTACAAATATTCAGTGATACATATAGCGTACCACACACAAACACTCTCTAGACAGCAACAACCAGGCATGTAAATCCCCCCCCCCCCCCCCCCCCCATTAATTATGCTGTGTTGACCATTGTTGAATAGACATGTGAACACCTTCAGAGTCGTTTTAGGAAGCTATAGGAGTATTATGCTTTACATTGTTGTGTCTTGATTTAAAGATAATGTATGTTCTCTTCTAGTAGTAAAGATAGCATAAAGTAAGCCAATGATGATAATATGAATACCCTATTCGTGATGCATTATAAGCACATTTATAATGCCTTATGAGCTTTACATAATCTACTATAATGCATGACATAGGTATAACTACATTCATAAAGCATTAAGAGCAGGCAAAGTGTTATAAAGTCCTATATTAAATGCTCTATATAGCCACAGCCTTGTTCATAATGCACTATAAATGTAGTCACAGATGTTTATGAGCAGTTTGTAGCGCCTATGTTGTGAATAATGCATTATGCATAGCTCATACTGCATTATAAATGCTCCTATAGGCTTAGTGTTTAGATTCTGTGATTACAGCATGCTACTGTACAGTATTTCAGATTTGATTTTGGGGGATGACAAACTTTTTTAACCAGCCTATGTCATCATCATCACAATAAATCACATCTCAATGTAGAGCTGGAGAACATAGAGACCTCCACCAAATATAAAAGGTTATTGTGTTCCAGGGATGTGTCAGATGATCCTGAAGACAAAGCAGTCACCAGTGGTGTTTAAGCTGCTCACATTGCTCTCTTGGCATTCCCTTTTCTTCTCCCAGCCACCTGTTTTGTTTCCGGTTGCCCTCTTTCACACCCATTCGCTGGAAAGGAGGCTAGTATAAATAGTCGTGATTCATGAAGGGAGAAAGAGAATAAGAAAGAGAGACCAAAAGAGAGGAGAGAGGAGAGGGAAGATACATCACAACCACATAAGGTAATTTCAATTTTTCTCAATTCCGATTGTTAACAATACAACAGGGAGGAATAGGAAGAGAAATTACTGTAGTTTCAGGGCTCAATTGAAAAATACATGAATAGCTCATTTGGACTCACCTGGTTAATTAAAGGATGACTAATAACAAAGAACATATAGGGTACTTACATGTACGTAGTTATCACATAACTCCATTCACTATAAATGTACCTTTGCTTTTCTTCATTTTGTGATTAAATCTTTTACATTTATATTTCCTACCGGGATTAATTATATTTGTCAAATTCTCTTCACAATGACAAAAAATTTAACAATTTGAATGCAAAGCTATAAACTTTATATTAACGTTAAAATATTTAACATTTCACCTGTCAGATTGGCCTTGCAAAAGCAATTCAGAGAGAGATCCTGATATCTGGGTTTCCCCCTCCTCTGGTTTGAAGACAATGTGGCGGGCCCTCCTGTATCAGCTTGCTCTGATTCCTCTCATCCAGGCTCAGAATGACTACTGCAGCACACACCCTACATTCAGAGAGCCAGGTCAGTGGAGCTGCAGCCCAAATTCCAATTCCTCCCCACCTGTCTCACACCTTTCCTTTCCTGTCCCCCTCCCACTTTCTCACCTTTCCTTCTTTGCAACCTAATAAGAGTCAGTTGGGGCCACCCAACAGTTTGAGGGGACTTGGTTTTTTGAGTGAGGTCTATATGTGGGCAATGGGAAATAGATCAAGGCCACATCTGATGTCATGCATCTTTGCAGTGTATGAAAGATGTGCTGCATGATCGCAGGTGTCAGGTAAACATGTTTACGTAGTTTAAAGGCAGTGAAAATTTGGTAATGCACACTCATGAGATACTGGGAAGACAAATGTACTGTAGAAATGTTAAATATTGTACCCAAATGCCCCTTTGGATATGCTTGCCTTTCTTGTAGTAAACAGAGTGCCTATACCTACTGTAGGAGTTAAGTGGGCAGAACAGTAGTGGATGGTAGCCATGATCTGAAACCAGCAGCCCTCCCAGTTGCCAGGTCAATTACAACGTTTTGATCTACAAGTGAAGGGATAAGTCGGATGTAGGGGTTGCATTGGATTTGGGAAAATATGCAGCTCGTCAAAAAGTCAATAAATTCTTGGTAGACTAACGTGTGACCTGTTGTCCCCTCAGCCAACATTGACATCGACATCTACTGTGGTAGTGTGTGACCTGTTGTCCCCTTAGCCAACACTGACATTGACGTCTACTGTGGTAATGTATGACCTGTTGTTCCCCCAGCCAACACTGACATTAACGTCTACTGTGGCACGAAAAGCATGGAGCTCCATATCTTACTATGTCCCGTCTACTTCGGTGGATACAATGAAACACTGATGTCCCTCAACGCTCAGTACTTCAAGGGAGAGTGCCGGGGGACACCCGATTGGACTGTCAACCCGCCCGTTCTGAAATACAACTTCTCCATCACAGAGGAGGCGGTGTCCGCCTGCAACAACAAAATGAAGGTAATTGTAGTTTGTTCTAGTAATTATATTTATATGGTATCATACTGACCGTAGAGGAGACATTTGGTGGTTGACACGAGAAGATGTTGCTTCAACTCTGGGTAGATGGATTTGACCCTGAACCTAGTAACATGTGACCCCTTAGACGGAATCTCTCTCTTTCTCTCTCTCTCTCTCTCTCTCTCTCTCTCTCTCTCTCTCTCTCTCTCACTCTTACTCTCTCACTCTCACACAGATCACTCAGGAGGTGGGTTCTGGACTCTTTGCGGACTTCTCCAGCATTCAGTTTGTCAACATCTCGGGCATGATCAACTCTCTGGACCCCAGCGCGGGAACCATCACCTACCGCCAGGAAATGATTTACAAATTCTCCTGCCGCTATCCACTCCAGTATTTGGTCAACAACACTGAGATGAGCGTGTGAGTAACCCCGGCCACCTTTTCTCTTAGGTTCACTCATGATAACCAATTCATCTGAACTCAATCAATTCAGGGAAGGACTTCCTCAATAGTAAAACTCTCAATGGAAAGTTATAAAATGGAGGCAGATTCATGCCAAAACAAATACAAATAACAAGATTGCAATAACATTGATATTGGAGTATTGTTTTATGCGAACTGGAACTGAACCAAGTTGAAATAAAAACAACCTCAAACCTGACAATAGCAGTGACGTGGTGTTTGCAAGTATGGAGTTATCATAGTTGGTTATGGCGGGTGGGCTAATGCTCCTGAGTTTTATATTACAACTGTTTCAGGTTTCAGCCTGGGTTGAATCATACGATGTATCATATGTTGACCTGGATGGTGATACGCTGCAGTTTTTCTCATGACAATTGATAGTAGCTAACAGACAGACAATTTGTTTTTTACAAACAGGTCTGGGGTGAGCCTAGCAGTCAAAGACAGCAATGGGAGTTTCATCAGTACCCTGAGTATGACGCTCTACTCGGTAATGATGTGTTTCTATGATACATTTTCTATGACAGAGGAGAAGGAAGTGAGATGTAATCACTAATTGTAGATAAGAATATTTAGTGTACACATGGAGAAAAAAAAATGTGTTAGCACAACTATAGCAGTTTCCAAATAGATCTGGAGGGAATAACACACAAAAAATGTTTGTATTATTTTTACGTTCTGATTTCCTCCAGTATTTCTGGAATGAATGTTCATCATTTCATTAAACTATATTGAAAGGACCAATGTGCTTGTGAATGCTTGAATGATCCCAAATGACAGTCTTCCCCCTCTTGTTCCGATTGGCTCCAAGGACAGGTTCTACACAACCCAGCTCAAGGTCCCTGAGGGAGGCTTGACATTGAAGACACGCATCTTTGTGGAGGTCAAGGCCACAAATCTCACTGGAAGGTACGAGTACAGCAGCAAAATCTGGATTTAAGAAAACATGGAGTTTTAAGCAATAAGGCCGTGCTATATTGTGAATATAGTCACAGTTAAAGGGTGTTGTTCGGGCCAACGCGGAGCGGCTAACGCATCTCGTCCAATCAGATTACGTGGCCGGAACTATCTGTTTCACGAAAGTGAAAAAACATACTGGTAGTCATTTACTGATTCTAGTAGACTATAGTGTGATGGGGTATTTCTTTCCTATCAAACCTCATTATCAACTTTTTAAAGAAACTCTGTCAATGGCCCCATTTGGAATATTGCCAAATATTTCACATGAAAGAAAAGAAAGACAGACATTTTCACCAACAATTCTTCTCTTTTCCATCATTTCTAGGTTCAATGTGTTGTTGGACAGATGCTTTGCCACAACCAGTCCCTACCCCGTCAACAGCACTTATTATGACCTCTTTGTTGGGTAAGTGAGACAGCCCAGCCGAAACAGTGCGAGCCTACTCCTTTGGGACACGCTGTCAGTCACACAATGACACAAAGCTCCACTTTCAGGGAATAATTAGATTACTAAGATATTCAGATATCCTATAGGACACAACATTTACATACACTACCAGTCAAAAGTTTGGACACACCTACTCATTCAACGGTTTTTCTTTATTTGTACTATTTTTTACATTGCAGAATAATAGTGAAGACATCAAAACTATGAAAAAATACATGGAATGATGTAGTAACCAAAAAAGTGTTAAACAAATCAAAATATATTTTATATTTGAGATTCTTCAAATAGCCACCCTTTGCCTTGATGACAGCTTTGCACACTCTTGGCATTCTCTCAACCAGCTTCATGAGGTAGTCACCTGGAATGCATTTCAATTAACAGGTGTGCCTTCATAAAAGTTAATTTGTGGAATTTCTTTCCTTCTTAATGCTTTTGAGCCAATCAGTTGTGTTGTGACAAGGTAAGGGGGGTATCCAGAAGATAGCCCTATTTGGTAAAAGACCAAGTCCATATTATGGCAAGAACAGCTCAAATAAGCAAAGAGAAACAATAGTCCATCATTACTTTAAGACATGAAGGTCAGTCAATACAGAAAATGTCAAGAACTTAAAAAATGTCTTCAAGTGCAGTTGCAAAAACCATCAAGCGCTATGATGAAACGGGCTCTCAAGAGGACCGCCACAGGAATGGAAGACCCAGATTTAGCTCTGCTGCAGAGGATAAGTTCATTAGAGTTACCAGCCTCAGAAATTGCAGCCCAAATAAATGATTCACAGACACATCTCAACATCAACTGTTCAGAGGGGACTGTGTGAATCAGGCTTTCATGGTCGAATTGCTGCAAAGAAACCACTACTAAAGGACACCAATAAGAAGAAGAGACCTGCTTGGGCTAAGAAACACGAGCAATGGACATAAGACCGGTGGAAATATGTCCTTTGGTCTGGAGTCCAAATTTGATATTTTTGGTTCCAACCGCCGTGTCTTTGTGAGACGCAGAGTAGGTGAACGTATGATCTCCGCATGTGTAGTTCCCACCATAAAGCATGGAGGACACTGTCTGTGATTTATTTAGAATTCAAGGCACACTTAACCAGCATGGCTACCACAGTATTCTGCAGCGATACGCCATCCCATCTGGTTTGGGCTTAGTGGGACTATCATTTGTTTTTCAACAGGACAATGACCCAACACACCTCCAGGCTGTGTAAGGGCTATTTTACCAAGAAGGAGAGTGATGGAGTTCTACATCAGATGACCTGGCCTCCACAATCCCCCGACCTCAACCCAATTGAGATGTTTTGGGATGAGTCAGACAGCGGAGTGAAGGAAAAGCAGCCAACAAGTGCTCAGCATATGTGGGAACTCCTTCAAGACTGTTGGAAAAGCATTCCAGGTGAAGCTGGTTGAGAGAATGCCAAGAGTATGCAAAGCTGTCATCAAGGCAAAGGGTGGCTATTTGAAAAATATCAAATGTATTTTGATTTGTTTAACACTTTATTGGTTACTACATGATTCCATATGTGTTATTTCATAGTTTTGACATCTTCACTATTATTTTACAATGTAAAGAAAAAACATTGAATGAGTTGGTGTGTCCAAACTTTTGACTGGTACTGTACATGTATGTACATATACATACAGTAGATGGGGAAAAGACTAGAAACTCAGTTGCAGCTACATTCTTGCTATTTATTAATTATCAAGTTATCAAGATCACCTAGTTTTTTCCTTGACAGGTGTAACCGGGATGGCCAGACGGTGATGGGGGTGAATGGGCAACAGCAGGAAGCACGTTTCTCGTTCGAGGCCTTCCGCTTTGTCCAGCACAAGAACAGGACGCTGTCCACTTTCTACCTGCACTGCTCTACCAGACTCTGTGAGAGGTCCGTCTGCACCTCCCTGCACCAGGTCTGTCGCTGCTCCTGTGCGGACGTTGTAGCCACATTCCAGCCCATCTGCAAAGCAGTTGTGCTGCACCAATTAACCAACAATTGAATGCCACGTCATTGCAGTCGGGCGTTAGATTGCATGATCAGATGTGGCTACTGGCACATTAAACACCTATCCAGGCGTTGTGAGATTTGGGGCACTATGTACAGACATTTTTGGGGGGCAGGAGCTTAAACAAAAAATCACGGTCACATACTCATTGAGCGATTGTGACTTTGATTATTTAGTTCCATAAAATAAATGGCCACATCTTAATGGCTAATTAAATGACACATATTTAACGCAAATTTAAAGACGACTTGCGGGCAGTGGGTTCAGAACAACAATGACAAAAACTGTATACCAAAACATTTTTTTTAAACCCAAAACAAAAGGCTACTTTAGAGACTGGAAGGGCAAAGGTGCATGTGCTCTGGACAGGTAGAGCCCTATCTGTGCACATGCCTGACTATGTAGGCGGCCTGGAACATGGCCCGCCATCTCTCTCTGTAGCCACGTTTATACCTGGTTCTGATATGCAACCTTTATCCTGATCTGGTACACATTCTGATTGTGCCCACATTTCTAGACAGGTGAAGACGATTAAAATACGCATTGTGATCTGATTGTGATCAGATCTTATAAGTGTAAACAGACAAGATTAGGTCAAGATCAGGACAAGATGAGGACGAAAAATGCATGTTAGGGGCAGGTATAAACGGGACTTAGGGGATGTGCATACAAATACCTTCATACCAATGAGTGGACCACCACAAGACAAACAATGGAGCAACATACAGTAGATGATGCTTGCAATGACCTATGACCTTGTGTAAGAAAGCTGTTCCAACCACCCCTCTTCTCCCTTTTCTCCTCAGAACTGCACGGACATCATCAGCTCAAGGAGGAAGCGGGAGGTCCAGGACACGTCTGTGACCGACACAGCCACGGTCAGCTCCGGCCCCATCCGCACCCAAGTGGACAACAGTGAGCAACAACCATTGACCGTTTATGACCATCATTCACATCAGCATTCCTCTGTGCTTTAACATTCAATGACCCATCAGCAATAATGACTAAAATGATTAAAAGATATTGAAGGCACAGCAACACTTTACTGATTACATTTGCACGTTCATATAACAGTAATGCCGTTTTGGTTGAGGGGGTTTTCATGTTATGAACGCAGAACTTCCTTTTATTTCTTATGCAGGTGATACTGTCGGAATTGTATCTGAAGGTATGCATCTACTTTTCATCACAACGATTGATATATCTACATGAAATGCACATACTCTATTATACATATAGACACGGCAGCCATTTCCCTATATTAAGTACTTCATATTTGAATTTCAAAGGATATATCATATTACAAAAGTTTTGTCTAGAAACAGTCTTTGTGAAGTATTTTCTCTGAACCTGTGTCCTCTTTGCAGTTGCCGAGCAGTTGGGTGGAAAACACAGATCCTTGCAGGGTGTTGCCATAGCAGCAGGGATCTTTGGTGCTCTCTCTATCTCCATGGTAGCCTTTATTGCGTACTGGATCGTTGTGCCAAGGACCATTGGGGCCATGGAGAAGAGAATGCTCTACCCTACACAAGAGTGAGTTTTTAGGGGAAGGCTTTGCCATGATACTCTTAAGGTGGTTTCCTCTCCCATGTCCTCGTTCTAATGCTCACTGACCTAAAGGAGTAGGTGGCTCAGTGCAATTTGGAAATAACTTAATTACTAGTTGACCATATTGCGTTCATCCACCCAGTAATTCAAGGAAATAGCACATGGGAAAGGATTTCACTTTTAGTGTTGTAACAATGGCTGGTCTAAACATGTCTACTAGCCAGTGAAGAGGAAGTAATGTTCTGAAAGTCCAAAGATGACTGGCAAATATCAGGCAGAAATAAAATCACTTATCCATATGAATATATCTGTTTAACCTGCACATATAGCACTGCATGTTTAAATAGTTTCTTTCCATTTTACGGCATTTAAAGTCTGGTATTGTTATTAAGGGCTATCGTCTTTGTCTTGGAGCAAGGTGAAGTATAAATATCTAGTATTATCATCATAATAAGGTGGTAGAGCACGGCGCTTGTAACGCCAAGGTAGTGGGTTCGATCCCCGGGACCACCCATACACAAAAAAATATAAATTATGCACGCATGACTGTAAGTCGCTTTGGATAAAAGCGTCTGCTAAATGGCATATTATTATTTTATTTTTATGAATACCTAGTTTGGTGTATTAGGGTTTCAAGGGCTCCTTTTTGATGCTGTCCATCAAATCATATTTAAATGCTATTTTTCTATAAAGTTGTCTTTCTCTTTCAATTTCCCAGACTTTATGAATACTGGTGTATAAAACCATACTCATTATAAACACTTTTTAAAAGTAAAATATAATAAATGACCTGTTGTTTTTCATTATGTTTTCATTTTCTTCATAATCCATCCTGCTGCCTTTCAAGTTCTCTAGCCTCAGACTACCAGGTTTGGGATCAATTATACACATTCACACAGGCCATTCCGGAATTCAAACTCAATGAAATGGAGCGAAACCATTAACTGATTACAGAATGGACCCTAGCCCAGAGTTACAATGGTACCGTTGAATTTGTTAAATGTGTATTTGAAGACACTTAATTTCTTATTTTTAAAGATATGGATTGAGGAAATAAATACACATTCCACTGTTCATCCCTCCATCATTTCATTAATAAAAACCTGTCTTTAAAAAAAACTGTTTATTAAAAGTTTAGAAACAAAACGTTGGCATCTCCCTTCCTGTTTATTTTGTTTATTTCCCCCCACAAACCATCCGAGGTGATGCAAAGAGCAGGAACCACCCCACTGGGCACAGACGTCAATTCAACATCAATTCATTGAAATGAAGTGGAAACGTTGATTCAACCAGTGTGTGCCCAGTAGGACTCCTCTGCTAGAGCTCCAAGCAGCTTGAAACATGGACAACATTATCTGCTTATTTTTCAGGCAGTGCAACACAGTCGAGCAGTCCTCAAATTCATACTGGCATCCATACAAACACCAGGGTAGTGTTCAGTAGGGTACATCGTAGCAAAACTTTATGCAACAAAATATGTTCATATGTGCAATTTCACTCCATTACAACAATGTTTTCCATCTATTGAACACAGCCCATGGCAGCCCCTTAGTTCAGTGAACTTACTTCATTCACCATCTGTATTGAGTACAATTTATAGAGATGAAACTGCACATAAGTATTGCATACCAAAAGACAGACGTCATTCAACGTAACATGTTTTTTTCCCTCATGCTAATAAGTCAGTGATGAATTTTCAGAAAGAACAATGCTAATTAGAACATGGAGGTGTAAAATATGGATTTTACACCTATGAACACACTTAGCGGATGGTTGTCAATGTCAATCATATTCTGATGACAATTTCTTGTTTTTGCATTTTCTCAGCGACAATACAAGGCATTAAGCGGGGAATTCAATATTCAAAGACAACTAAAATACACCATTCCACTTGCAAAGAGGAGCATACATTAGCTAGTTCCATCCCAATGAGATCTTTCTGAAGAACACACACACAGACAGAAAACCCACTAAAAGTTAATGAAAGCAAGATTTGCCCGGAGAAAACACAGAAGATATTTGAGGACAACCGTGCTTGAGAGGAAAAGTCACAACCTTTTTTGATCACAGAATGAGACGAAAGCTGAATTTTGCAGTGGAGGAAACATTGAGTCCTGATATTATTGGTCCTTCCAAAACAAAACATTTTGTATCAGGTACTTGTTCTGTTCTATGCAGTAGCAATTATACAGTTGTTCAAATAAGGTTGTTTGCATGCGGGAAGGTATGCCTAAACCTTAAGGGCAGAATAGTAGAACAGAAATTTGAGGTCTTGGGTTCAGTTCCTTTACTGGTTATTCCAGACTTCGTAAGTGTTCCTTGCTCACCATGTCAGTGAGAGGAGAGATGTATAGTGGCTGAGGGGATGAAGATCAACAGAAAGTGAGAAAGGAAGAGGGAATAAAAGAGTTCAAGGTGTCTGAGCTGATCCAATGTCTTTCTGGTTTTCAACATAAAAAGGGTGGAAAAACAAAACTCCCCCCAAAAAATGGAGGCGGAAACTTGAACAATTAAACATTGTCAATAAATACAATGAGATATCTTCAGTTCCAGCTGTTATAACTCATCCCCGACATGGTTTTCTGACTGGTCTTTCTCCGCTGATTCTGAAAATGGAAAGGAGGAATAAAATATTATACTCAAGTATATAACAGCACAGCATATGACTTTGATGGTATAAAACCTTTTCATGGTTGCTCCACCTTGAATGGACTGCCAAATTCTATTCCTTTCCATCAGATGCCCCCTTGTGTAGCGAGAAATTGTAAGACAACTGGGTGCCAATTCGCACATGCAAAAGGATAGTTGCTTTGGCAGACATACCTGTACTTGCAGTTTCATCTTTAGGCTGTGATTGGCTGGACGAGTCTGTGTTCTGTCCAGTGGGCTCTATGGTGGGCGGTTCCTCTCCTGGCCGCACCTCCTCAGTTGCTTCTGTCAAATGAAAACAAATCCCACCAACGAAAAGAGGGGTCTTTGATTGGTGATTACATTTTTGTCTAAAAGGGATCTTTGACAAGTTATTGCACGCGTCATGTGAAGCACTTCCTTTGCAAATGACATGATTTTCTGTTTCAAAGTGTTTTGCTAAGGTGTGGCCTATTGAACATGACCCTAATATATAGATATCATATGTATCATAACAGAAATGTGTTTTCCCCCTCTCTCTCACCTTTGTCTTTAGTCTCCTCCTCCTTGGGAGGTATGACTTTCTCCTCTGTTTTGCTGCTGTTGGCCTTGCTGTTGCTCTCCGAGGTGGTGCTGTTGTTCTTGGCCTTGGGCTTGGCCCTGGGCTTGGCAAACTTGGCCTTGTTCAGCAGGTAGTTGACCTCGCGGTCCAGCAGAGACAGCTTGGACTCAATGTCTTTGGACAGCAGCACAGGCCGCTCCGTGGGAGAACGCTTCTCCTGCTCGGCCACAGTGTCGTTCTTCCACGTCTGTGGAGGAGAGGAGGGTGAGGTGTTGGGGGTTAAAAATGAACAAATAATAAAAAGGTTGATGTTTCTTTGTTCCACGTTGATGACAAACGAGGGACAACCAACCATGTGAACCACGACAACCAACCATGTGAACCACGTCGTCTCATATTTGAGTAATTTTGAATTCCTGAGGTAATGGTCCATCAAAAATAACATCATTGACAAATGCATCAATGAGTAAAACAAATAGGAGTTTATGAATAATCACTACATACAGTGGTCTCGTTGATGACTTTGTCTAACGTCTTCAGCTCCACTTCGGTGAAGATTTGGTCGTCCTCTGGTATTAGTTTGGCGCTCCTTGAGGAAAAAAAAACACAGAAGATCCATGTCAAATGGATGCATTGTAAATCTCATGATTCAGCTCTAAAATGTTCACCGCTGAAGCTAAGCAGGGTCGGTTCTGGTCGCTCCCTAGATGGGAGACCAGATGCTGCTGGAAATGGCGTTAGAGGCCCGGGGGGGGGGGGGTCTAAGGAGATCCCACTGCCCCAGGGCCTTGAAGGGGACCTTTCCCTGCATAGGGTGCCATCTTTAGGATAGGATGTTAAAACTGGTGTCCTGATTCTCTGTGGTCACTAAAGATCCAAGATCCCATGGCACTTATCGTAAGAGTAGGGGTGTTAACCCCGGTGTCCTGGCTAAATGACTAATCTGGCTCTAATCATCTCCAGCTTCCAATTGGCTCATTCATCCCATCTCCTCCCCCTATAACTCTTCCCCAGGTCGTTGCTGTAAAATATTATATTATCCCAGTCAACTTGACTGGTAAAATCAGTTTAGCATTTTCCCTTACTAATGGTTAGGGTTAGGATTGGGGAAGCTGATCCTAGAGCTGTACCGGAGCTGTCGGGACCCACCTGAGGAAGAAGCTGGAGTGGTTGAGCATGCTCTCCAGGGCGGCCAGGCGGTCGGGCCACTTCCTGCGCTCCTCCACACGGAAGAACATGGCCTTGCACAGTTTCTTGAGCTCCTGCAGCTTCTCCCGCAGCTCCTTGGTGACTGCAGAGTAGCCATCCTCATCCATCCAGGCCGACGCCTCGCTCAGCTTGGTCGTGATGGCCTCCTTCTCCTCCTCTGACACCACCGCCTGGTACTCTTCCTGGTACATCTTGTCCTTAGGAGGAAGGAGAGGAAAAAGGGATTAGACAGCTGCAAGATGTAGGCTATATATACACACACACACCTATTGGTGTTGTACTGTAAAGATGCTGTTCTAACCTGGGTCTCAAAAATGAATGCCTCGAGACTGTTCAGGGTCTTCTCCCTCTCTTGCTTCTCCAGGTCTCTATCAGTCAGGTCTTGGAGCCTGTCAGGAAGAAATCAAAAACATTATTGCAGCGAATTTGGAGGTTGCCGGGACTCGAACCTGGGTCTATGCGTCTGTCAGTCAAACAACTTAGCCATTACACCAAGAGATCCAAAACCTTTGGCGAAGTCGCTAGGTATTGTACTAAGTCAGGACGCTACATTAATATCATTATAGATTGAAAAATCTATGTTCAACTTCCCCACCCTGCACATTTGAAGTCTCCTAAAATGTCAGAAGGAAAGATAGAGCGACATACTTCTTGTTTGAGGAGGCGATAGCTTCCAAGCTAGGGTTAAGGATGTCGTTCACTTGGAGCTCCACTGTGACATCCTCAGAGAACTTGGTTTTCTTCTGAGGCTTGGCTTTCTTCTGAGGCTCCTTCGCCGCTTCCCCTGCCGCTTCCCCTGCCGCTTCCTCTGCCGCTTCCTCTTTTCCATTATTTTCTCCTTCCTTTTCATCCTGCAAAGAGTGTGCAAAGCTGTCATCAAGGCAAAGGGTGGCTACTTTGAAGAATCTCAAATATATTTTGATTTGTTTAACACTTTTTTGGTTACTACATGATTCCATGTGTTATTTCATATAGTGACGTCTTCACTATTATTCTACAACGTAGAAAATAGTAAAAATTAAGAAAAACCCTTGAATGAGTAGGTGTGTCCAAACTTGACTGGTACTGTATATGCTTTACTGACAACAGTCTGTAACCAAACATTCCATTCAACACTTAACATTTTGTAATGTTCATTAAACACGAAAGCACTGAATACACCCCAGGGCTGAGCGTCCCGGGTATTCATGTGGAATCCAACTGAGCCAAGCGCTTACCTGAGGGTCAGCCTTGCTGTCCAATGCCTCTCCCTCAGTCTTCTCTTGGGTTGGGACCTCCTCCTCCTGTTTCTCCCCAGGCTCCAGCTTCTCTTCCTGGGGAGCAGCCTCCTCCTTCTGGCCCTGCTCCTTCCCAGTCTCCGGATGAACCTCCTCCTCATCCTGGACACAGAAACAATAGGGGAGAGGCAGGGAGAGTTAGACAGCCATGAACTAGTGTTAAGGAGAGGAACTCAGAAGCATCTTACATTAGGATGGGGACTGAGGAGAGGATTACCTGAACTGGTTCCGTCACATTTGCGTTGGACTCTGAGGATCCCCCTCCAAACAGGCTGGAAATGGTATTTCCCAGTTCTGACAAGTCAAAAGAGCCAGAATTCAGACATGGAAGAGACTATGATTATGACTAATGAGGGGGGAAACAAGATGTAAATTGATTACGATGTCAGCATAAAACCCACTTGTCAGAGTTGACTCCTCATCCTTCTCCTCCATAATGGTCTCAAAGACAGACTCCACCTAAAGAAAACAACTATTAGTTAAAGCGATAAGTCACCCAAATGTTTATTGCTTTCTAACCTTGTGTATGGACCAAGAGTCAACACATCCTAACCTACAATGAGGCTTGCATAGCTAAAACCACCACAGGCTAATGTTAGCATCGATTACCCCAAATCAATAGTGCAAAATGTAATGTCCAAAAAAAAATGTTTAGTCATTTAGCAGACGCTCTTATCCAGAGCGACTTACAGTTAGTGAGTGCATACATTATATATATTTTTTTCATACTGGCCCCCCCGTGGGAATCGAACCCACAACCCTGGCGTTGCAAACGCCATGCTCTACCAACTGAGCTACATCCCTGCCGGCCATTCCCTCCCAATTGGGGCGACGCTGGGACAATTGTGCGCCGTCGCATGGGTCTCCCGGTCGTGGCCGGCTACGAACAGAGCCTGGATTCGAACCAGGATCTCTAGTGGCACAGCTAGACCACTGCGCCACTTTATGTCGGTAGATATAAGTATTACAAATCTCAGAAATACGAACACGAAGGGAATGTAGGTTTTACATTTGAAAAAAATAATTTTAACTATTTACATGTACTTACAAAATGCCTCAAACCTTTAAAGAAAATATGGAATGCATGTATTTTGCAACCATCTTTAAAAAAGTTAAAATATCTGATGCGTTTTGTATCTCTGAGGTTTTATTGTACTTCCAGAGAGGAGCTCCATAAGTATCAGAAGGGTGCACTGACCATAGAGATCATATAATTCACATTATATAAGTAATTCTATGGTACTGACCCGGTCCAGGAGGAGCATGCCACTCTCGTCCATGTTGAAGTGGGCCTTGATGCCCTTGGACTCAGCGTCCATGTGCTTCTGGAAGCTGCTGCTCACCCCAGACAGCTGCACTGTGGTCAGGTTGAGAGACCCAAACACACTGGCGGAGGAAAGGAAGGAAAAGAAAGCGAAGAGGACATTTAAAATCAGATGCAACATAAGGTACGTTATGGCTGTTTATGTCACTTCCGTTACAATTCAAAACTTGATTTGTCCCCTTAGGCCAATTCTATAGCCAATGACAAACTGTAATGCTGTTACAGTATAGTATATTTTCCTTGGGAGAGCCCTCCAATAGGTGCTGCAGTGTTGTGATTGACTTCACCCTGATCCAACCAGAGAAGATCAACGACACCTACGCTCTGTGCTTTCTCTGGCTGCCACGCCACTACAGAAGGCACTGAGCGAGGCTTAAACAATCGATTTTCTGACCAATTCATGCTACTTTTGGTTCGGTTTGGGCTCCCGCGGACAAATGCATTCGTATCTTAAACATTTAAACCTGATTCCAATACGCATCAGTGAATCGTTAAATCTCTACTGTTTTGCCGTGTTGTCTCACACAGATTGGGGTATGTATGTGCCAGTTTCCTGGACACAGATTAAACACAGATAAGTCCTGGGCAAAAGAAAAACTACATTCTCCATTGAGCATGGTTAAGTCCAAGCTTAGACTTAATCTGTGTCCAGGAAACCGACCCTAAGTTACAACCAATTAAACCCATCTTTATTGGTGAGGCACTCACCTGAGGTCATTTTGGCCCAAGAAGCTGAGGTCTCCGTAGTTGATGTCAAAGGCAAAGTCATCAGTGTAGCGGTTGAAGGTGATGACCTTGCGCTGGGGGTAGGGGGCCATCCTCTGGAACAGGATACGCTTGTTGTGTTTCAGGCTCCTGGAGCCATCCTCATCCTCCGTCTCCCTGGTGAACTCCACCTGGAGAGTGAGAGAGAGATCCAGCTGTATGCCACAATCCAAAATGAATGAAAAGATGAGCACCGTATGATATCCAGTTGTGGTGCTTAGCTTTTCCATTCATTTTGGTTTGAGGCATATAGCTGGACTTACACAACTGATGGCGTGGGATGTGGACCTATCTTGACATTAGACAACTTTTGGGGTTTCGTCTCCTCTAAAGACATGAATGGCTGGAAGGTAATGTAATTATTTAAAAAAGGGTTGGGGTTCAATGTTAAAGAATGGGCTGTGTTACCTGGATTGGGAAAACGGCTGCCTCCCTGACCAGGAAGGGTTTGACTTTGAAGGCCTTGCTGAGGGCAGCGGCCTGGTACACGGCACCCATGGCTGCAGCCTCGTCTGCGTTGATGTTCTTTCCCAGCTCCTCTCTATATACACACACACAGTCAGTGTGGTCAACGTCATGCAGATATGTCTTGTTTATTCAAAGTGATAGTTCACTCCAAGAACAAGGTTGGCCAGAGACATTTTCATACTTCAAAAGCAGTCAAATCGTGTTGCGTACGCCTTAGGAGGTGAACTCTTCTCAAAATTAGACCGCTTTTCAGGTCTGAAAACATCTGTCAAAGTTTAATTTTGGATTTAACTCTTTAAGCCTTTTCATCCCAGGTGGAGCATTGCCAATATGTAAGTTACATACTATCGCTGTAGTAGATACTTCAGTTAGATAGTATCTGTGGGTGAAACACTTACAGTACTCTATTCTTCTATTGTGTTCCATTGTCTATGGAGGTTTGTTTTTAATATAACGCCTTTCAGCCAAAACTCTGGACAATAGGGATCATTCTAAGTCCCTCATGTTTGTTTGTCCTGTAGTATACAGACGTATTGACGTGTTGAGTGAAAACCTGTTGACATACTTACTTCCCAACGGCTTTGAGCAGCACCTCCTGCACCTTAGGCACTCGGGTGGAGCCGCCCACCAGGATCACCTGCTCAATCTCGTCCTGTTAGAAGACAATGTTGGAAGATATACAAACAGTATTTACAAATAAACAAACATTAACATAACACATTTGTGTTGGTTCAATCTCTGTATCAATCCCTGAAGAAGGCTTGACATGCTGAAACATGTCAGAGTTAAGATATTGTTCCATTGAACATGCCACCACAAGAAAGGCAATTTCATATCAAACCTATATCAAAGTGCAACTTTTTAGTCACACAGACATCAACTATTCTACTACAGTTTTTGATTCTCAGGGCTCCAGACTAACATTAACCCCCCTGGTGGCACTTTTTAGTTGGTGCCACCAGCCCACGATTTGGTGGAACCTAAACAATCTTTTTCAGCAGGCGTCACACAATAGAATACATTTGAGTCATCATCTTATAAAGACATTATAAAAATCATTCACAATGGGTTAAGAAGTGTATTAGACTACTGAGATATAAAAATAAATAAGTTGTTACAGCTAACGTGTCCAAGCAGGAACGCATGATTCTAAATATTTTGATATGCAACCTAATCCTGTGATTGTCATGTATTTTAGGTTGACTTAGGCTATTTTTGTTATATTTTACTGTCAAAATAGGGTGCCAGAATTTTCATATTTTTTTGGTTCAATAGGGATGAATGCCTTCCTCTTTATGTGCACCAAAATTATATATAGGCCTAAATTCACCACCTGAGGAAGTGGAAACTAAAAACACATTAGCTAGATCTCGAACTCTAAATATAACACCTACTGCTAGTAGCCATGTATTCATCCAACAGTAAATGTAATGTCCTGTAATGAGGACTAGTGCACTCGTGATAGCCGATGCGCAATTTCGCGGGCTCCGTAATTCAAAGCCATATCAGATATCTTGATTGTAAAACAGTGTGCTTTGAGCTCAATAATGATTGTTGAGGAATCAATTATTCTACAGAAAGCTGAGACCCTCTTCTCTTTAATATGGACAACAAGTTGCTTCCAAAGTTGTGTTTTGTCCACGCAATTGCATTTTGAAATGTTATACAGTCACGAAGGGGCACACGAGGGGGGAGAGAAAGTTTGAGAGGCTCGCTCGTTACAGCAGCCGGCCCCAGCGAAACAGGCAGGCACAGCGGCAGCACAGTCACTTCTATTACAGGAATCATGAGGATAATGCCCTTTACTGTTGAACAAATTAATGGTTTTATCCGCCCCAAAAAAGAGGATGTTTTGATTGAGGTGACCATGTGCAGATCACACCAGTGCAACCAATTAAAAATGTAACCGGCACAGCCAAGTCAAAGGGTTGAATAATGCGACTAAATGGTTGCAGTCTGGAGCCATGGATTCTACTATGCAATTGTGATAGGATTTTAAGAGAAGACATTATCCTAAGGAGCATAGCCATTCCACAGACCCAGGGGCTTGGGAAACTACAGTGTGATCTTTTTGATACTGCCGACTTTCCTGGGGCTTTTTGTGGGTCAATTGATACTTTTGTCTGCGTCATTGTTTATGCATAAAAAGTCAAAGTTTCCCCCAAGAGGTAGATAGTTAGTGATTGATCAATAAGATAGAAATGTTCATTAGGGCACACAATGGAATTTTAACGTTTTGCAACGGAAATTGAACTTTTCTGATTGGACAAATCAAGGGAGTCCCTTCCTGTTTCAGTCCATTTTCTTCCATTTAGTGACTAATGAACACACACGAACTGTGGTGACTCACCAGGGACATCTCTGCAGAGCTAAGGGCCTCCTGTACTGGGCCAGGCACTCTCTCAAACAGGTCAGCACACAGTGCCTCAAACTCCACACGGGTCACCTTGGCCTTGAAATCAATTTCATCTAGAAGCCCCTCCACCTGAACATCATACAGCAAGAGTGAGTACATTTAGTTTACATGTACAGTATTACACAACTACAGTACAACACTATGGGTGACAGTGACACTGACAGTGCAGCATGAGGTCCCTTCACCTGTGCCATGAATTCAGCGTTGGCGCTCAGTACAGTCTTGAGTCTCTGGGCCTCCTTGAGGAGCTTGGCCATGGCACGGTGGTTCTCCCTCACGTCCTTCTTGGTCTTCTTCTGCTCGTTGAACAGCTTGGCTAGGTGGTCCCGCAGCCGCAGCTCCATCTCAAAGCCCCCCAGAGAGCGGTCAAACCTGGCCAGAGATGGAGAACATCTGCTAGGTTAGGAACATTTGAGGAATGTGCTTGTCATAGCTCCACCATAAGTCATTGAAAATACAAAAACGATTACTTCATACTGATCAGAGTAGAGGTCAAGGTGTGTGCTTTCCCCAACATCCTCTGTCTGTCTGTGTGTGTGTATACAGGCCCGTTTGTCTCACCCCACTCCTCGGATCTGGAGCTGTGGCTGGGTACCCGACTCTTTGGTCTTGACCGTCTGGTACGTGACGATGGTTGCCGTCGTGCTGCCTGAACCCATGTCATAGAACATCATGTTCTGTAGAGGGAGACAACAGGCAAGATGACTATAAGACTAGGGTTACACAAAGCAACTTTAATGCAATTACAGGTTACAGGTTGAAAGCAACATCATCTTAAGCAAATTTGCTGACACACGAAGCAACTTATGAAGCTAAAAAAGTCTTACCAGTTGGATCTGAATTGACCAACCTAGTTCAATTTTTAAAAAAAACGTACAAATGTAATAGCAGCCTAGTGCACCTGAGCTGTGCTGTTGATGTCTTTCCTCCTGAAGACGCCGTAGTTGAGCGCCACTGCCGTGTTGTCATTGATGAGCTGAAGAACCTTAACACCTGCCATCTGCGCGGCCTGCAGGACCGCCCTGCGCTCTGCCTGATTGAAAAAGGCCGGGACGGTGATCACTGCATCTTTGATGGGCTGCTCTGTAAGCAAGAGTAAAACACATTCAGTCGGGGGGGGGGGGGGGGGGCTTCAGAATATGCTCAAAATAATTGTACAACACATCAAATGTTGAATGAGAAACAACCTTTCCCCCATACTAGTAGTGAACATACAAACCTGCAAAATCCTGAGCCAGTCCACGTGAATAGTTCAAAACCATGCCCAGGAGCTCCTCTGGAGAGTACTGCATTTCTCTGTAGGAAAACAGAGAGCGGACATTAGAACCAAGCACTCTTATCCACATCTACAGCATAGGACATACTGGATCAATGACATTGTCACAGGCTGTGTAATGTGCCATTTAGGCAGTATGCAAAGGAACGTCGTACACTAATAACTGAAAAGTGCTTGAGTCAGCATTTTGTCCCTCATTGCTAACGGCCCATAGACTTCAGTATTATTAGTACTCTTCAACAGTACTTCAACAACGAATCACTTGGCTCAATCATCTGCTGCTAAACAGAAAGACAAAGGGAACCAATGAGAGGAAATCGGATAAGACTTACTCTGAGTTTCTAAAGAGAACTGTGCCCCGACTCTCATCTTTCCCCAGATGGTGCTCGGGGAAGCGTTTCTGATAGACCGTCACCTGTGGGTTGTCCTGCTTCTTGCCCAGGAGGCTCTGAAGATGCCTATAGACAAATTTGGGATTCTTCACAGACTGCGGGAGAAAGAGAAATCCAAATCAATGTCAGTGTAGATATGAATGAATGCATGAACTGTATTGATCCCCAGAGGGGAATACAGAGTACTAACTGTATGAGACATTTTACCTGGTAGGTTCCTTTGACAAAGTGCCAGTGGTGAAATGTACTTCATAAAAAAAATATATATACTACTTAAGTTGTTTTTTGGGGTATCTTTTACTTCACTACATCCCACCCCCCAAAATGTTTTCCTGACACCCAAAAGTACTTGTTACATTTTGAATGCTTAGCAGGACAGGAAAATGTTCCAATTCATCCACTTATCAAGATAAGGTTCCTCGTGCTTTGTTTGTAAATTATGTCGGAGTGTTGGAGTGTGCCCCTGGCTATCCGTAAATAAAAAATAAAACAAAAAATACCAAACAAATGGTGCCGTCTGGTTTGCTTAATATAATAATAATAAGCCATTTAGCAGACGCTTTTATCCAAAGCGACTTACAGTCATGTGTGCATACATTTTTACGTATGGGTGGTCCCGGGGATCGAACCCACTACCCTGGCGTTACAAGCGCCATGCTCTACCAATTGAGCTACAGAGGACCACAGGAATTTAAATGATTTAAACTTTTACTTTGTACAGTGGGGAAAAAAAAGTATTTAGTCAGCCACCAATCGTGCAAGTTCTCCCACTTAAAAAGATGAGAGAGGCCTGTAATTTTCATCATAGGTACACATCAACTATGACAGACAAAATGAGAAGAAAAAAAATCCAGAAAATCACATTGTAGGATTTTTTATGAATTTATTTGCAAATTATGGTGGAAAATAAGTATTTGGTCAATATCAAAAGTTTCTCAATACTTTGTTGTTGTGGACAGGTGTCTTTTATACTGATAACAAGTTCAAACAGGTACCATTAATAGAGGTAACGAGTGGAGGACAGAGGAGCCTCTTAAAGAAGAAGTTACAGGTCTGTGAGAGCCAGAAATCTTGCTTGTTTGTAGGTGACCAAATACTTATTTTCCACCATAATTTGCAAATAAATTCATTAAAAATCCTACAATGTGATTTTCTGGAATTTTCTTTCTCAATTTGTCTGTCATAGTTGACGTGTACCTATGATGAAAATTACAGGCCTCTCTCATCTTTTTAAGTGGGAGAACTTGCACAATTGGTGGCTGACTAAATACTTTTTTCCCCCACTGTACTTAAGTATATTTTAGCAATTACATTCACTTTTGATACTTTTCCTCAAGTAGTATTTTACTGGGTGACTCACCTTTACTGGAGTCATTTTCTATTAAGTTATCTTTACTTTTACTCAAGTATGACAAATTGGGTACTTTTTCCACCACTGCAAAGTGCCTTACCACTCCTAATGCACTGTCTCCAAAAAGTCGCTCGTTTTCTTTCAAACACACGGCTATTGGCGTTTTCCTCCTGGACTCCCTGAGCCACACAAAGAAGGTAAAGAGACCATTGAAACATGATGAAGCTTTGATAATGCATTTTTATCATGAACTGACCCTTAGTTCCCTCTCCCAACTCTTCAGTCACCCAACTTCATTCACCATTCACCTCACTTTTCAGAGGCACGCATGTGTTAAGATGGCACAGCCCATTTAGGTATTTCCATGTTAACATACACTACTGGTGAAAAGTTTTTTAGAACACCTACTCATTCAAGGGTTTTTCTTTATTTTTACTATTTTCTACATTGTAGAATAATAATGAAGACATCAAAACTATGAAATAACACATATGGAATCATGTAGTAACCAAAAAAAGTGTTAAACAAATCAAAATATATTTTATATTTGAGATTATTCAAATATTCACCCTTTGCCTTGATGACAGCTTTGCACACTCTTGGCATTCTCTCAACCAGGTTCATGAGGTAGTCACCTGCAATGCATTTCAATTAACAGGTGTGCCTTCTTAAAAGTTATTTTGTGGAATTTATTTCCTTCTTAATGCTTTTGAGCCAATCAGTTGTGTTGTGACAAGGTAAGGGGGGTATCCAGAAGATAGCCCTATTTGGTAAAAGACCAAGTCCATATTATGGCAAGAACAGCTCAAATAAGAAAAGAGAAACAACAGTCCATCATTACATTAAGACATGAAAGTCATTCAATACGGAAAATGTCAAGAACTTTGAATGTTTATTCAAGTGCAGTCGCAAAAATCATCAAGCGCTATGATGAAACTGGCTCTCATGAGGACCGCCACAGGAATGGAAGACCCAGAGTTACCTCTGCTGCACAGGATAAGTTCATTCGAGTTACCAGCCTCAGAAATTGCAGCCCAAATAAATGCTTCACAGAGTTCAAGTAACAGACACATCTCAACATCAACTGTTCAGAGGAGACTGTGAATCAGGCCTTCATGGTCAAATTGCTGCAAATAAACCACTACTAAAAGGACACCAATAAGAAGAGTCTTGCTTGGCCCAAGAAACACGAGCAACGGACATTAGACCGGTGGAAATGTGTCCTTTGGTCTGGAATCCAAATTGGAGATTTTTGGTTCCAACCGCCGTGTCTTTGTGAGATGCGGTGTGGGTGAACGGATGATCTCCGCATGTGTATTTCCCACCGTAAAGCATGGAGGAGGTGGTGTTATGGTGTGGGGGTGCATTGCTGGTGACATTGTCTGTGATTTATTTAGAATTCAAGGCACACTTAACCAGCATGGCTACCACAGCATTCTGCAGCGATACGCCATCCCCTCTGGTTTGGGTTTAGCGGGACTATCATTTGTTTTTCAACAGGACAATGACCCAACACACCTCCAGGCTGTGTAAGGGCTATTTTACCAAGAAGGAACGTGATGGAGTGCTGAATCAGATGACCCGGCCTCCACAATCCCCCGACCTCAACCAAATTGAAATGGTTTGGAATGAGTTGGACCGCAGAGTGAAGGAAAAGCATCCAACAAGTGCTCAGCATATGTGGGAACTCCTTCAAGACTGTTGGAAAAGCATTCCAAGTGAAGCTGGTTGAGAGAATGCCAAGAGTGTGCAAAGCTGTTATCAAGGCAAAGGGTGGCTACTTTGAAGAATCTCAAATATAACATATTTGATTTGTTTAACACTTCTTTGGTTACTACATGATTCCATATGTGTTATTTCATAGCTTTGATGTCTTCACTATTATTCTACAATGTAGAAAATAGTAAAAATAAAGAAAAACCCTAGAATGAGTAGGTGTTCTAAAACTTTTGACCGGTAGTGTACATTGTAAGGAACAATAGCTAGCTTATTCAAACATCAGCGACAATGGATGTTAATAGTTGTGAATACATTTTTTTTTTTAAACTTGAAATGGAGTAGGGATTTTCATCTAAAAGCACAAAGTCAATAACTCATGGTGATATGGTTCGAGATAATGGCAATACTCACTTGTTTAAAGCAATCTCCATTGGCACGCCAGGTTTTACTATCGCTACTTTCATCCACTCACTGCCTAGGTCAACTGACATGACTGCTACAGAGGCTGTATGGACAAAATAATGGGTATGATTATTGCATTACCTGTACTTTTGTAATAAAGTGATGACTACACATTTTAGGTGAGACAATACTAAAGGGGATTAGCTTCAATAGTTTCTCACTGGCTACAGTGGTATGGTGGCAATGTGAGCAAATAATATCAAAACATTTGACAAGTCCTTTGCATCAGTTGAACTTAAATCGATGTTCACCCGTACGTCAGTAAATTAACTTGTTTAAATAGGTACAAATATGGACTGCGCATCATATTGTGAAGTGACAGTACAGTAGATGAACTACAATCTCTGCATGTGTCCATTTTTCTTCTCGCACTCAAAAATGGAGGCATTCAGATTTGCGTTGAACTTAGCATTTGGTGTTAGGCAAATCTGCCAGTGCTTGATGCAGGCAGGTGTCTTGGATGGAATAACCATGTGTAGCGTTAGTACCTGTTTGTGAAGGCAGCAGTGCCAGGACAAGGCAGAAGAGAGCCCATAACAACATCTTCCTCCTCATGGTGACCTGTACACACAAAGCAGAACAAAGACATTGATTTTCAAATGCTAACAGCAGCCTCCCTGGTGACATGGTAACTGTGCTGAATAAATAATTGGTTCATTATTGCAAGACCAAAAATTCAAAAATTCTTGGCAACTCAGGAATCTATCAAAGATACATTCTCTTGTACTCTGTTTTTGCATCATGTACAAAGCCCGTTGCCACAAATGTTGTCCTTGGTTTTAAAAGTCATCTTTTGGGATCAAATATCTTAACTGTTGTTGTTGTTTTTTGTACTACAACCTTCCAGTCTGTGCACAGTCACACATGCTCAAATAACTTTGATTTCTTGATTGAATGCATATAAGCAAATATGAAACCTTTCAGGAAGGAAATAGAGTGAGCGCATCCTCAGGCTCTAGAAGCAGCAAGGCACATACAGTGCATTCGGAAAGTATTCAGACATTTTGTTACGTTACAGCCTTATTCTAAAATGGATTATGGCTTCTAGCTCCGACAGTGCAGTAATATCTAACAATTTCACAACATATACCCAATACAGGGATTTACTAATATATACATATATGGACAAGCAATGACAGAGCGGCATGGACTAAGATACAGTAGAATATTATAGAATAGAATGCAATATATACATATGAGATGAGTAGTGCAAGATATGTAAACATTATTAAAGTGACTAGTGTTCCATTTCTTAAAAGTGGCCAGTGATTTCAATAGGCAGCAGCAGCAGCCTCTAATGTGCTAGTGATGGCTATTTAACAGTCTGATGGCCTTGAGATAGAAGCTGTTTTACATTCTCTCGGTCCCAGCTTTGATGCACCTGTACTGACCTCGCCTTCTGGATGATAGCGAGGTGAACAGGCAGTGGCTCGGGTGGTTGGAGTCCTTGATGATCTTTTTGGCCTTCCTGTGACATCGGGTGTTGTATGAGTCTTGGAGGGCGGGTAGTTTGCCCCCGGTAATGCATTCGGCAGACCGCACCACCCTCTGGAGAGCCCTGCGGTTGTGGGCGGTGCAGTTGCTGTACCAGGCGGTGATACAGCCCCACAGGATACTCTCAATTGTGCATCTGTAAAAATTTGTGAGGGTTTTAGGTGCGAAGCCGAATTTCTTCAGCCTCCTGAGGTTGAAGAGGCTCTGTTGCGCCTTCTTCACCACACTGTCTGCGTGGGTGGACCATTTCAGTTTGTCAGTGATGTGTACTTCAAGTAACTTGAAGCTTTCCACCTTCTCCACTGCGGTCCCGTCGATGTGGATAGGGGGGTGCACCCTCTGCTGTTTCCTGAAGTCCACGATCATCTCCTTTGTTTTGTTGATGTTGAGTGAGAGGTTATTTTCCTGGCACCACACTCCCAGAGCCCTCACCTCCTCCCTGTAGGCGGTCTCGTCATTGTTGGTAATCAAGCCTACTACTGTTGTGTCGTCTGCAAACTTGATGATTGAGTTGGAGGCGTGCTTGGCCACGCAGTCATGGGTGAACAGGGAGTACAGGAGGGGGCTGAGCACGCACCCTTGTGGAGTTTGGAAACACCAAGACACTTCCTAGAGCTGGCCGCCTGGCCAAACTGAGCAATCGGGGGAGAAGGGCCTTGGTCAGGGAGGTGACCAAGAAACCGATGTTCACTCTGACAGAACTCCAGAGTTCCTCTGTGGAGATGGAAGAACCTTCCAGAAGGACAACCATCTCTGCAGCACTCCACTAATCAGGCCTTTATGGTAGAGTGGCCAGATGGAAGCCACTCCTCAGTAAAGACACATGACAGCCCGCTTGGAGTTTACCAAAAGGCAACTAAAGGACTCTCAGACCATGAGAAACAAGATTCTCTGGTCTGATGAAACCAAGATTGAACTCTTTGGCCTGAATGTCAAGCATCACGTCTGGAGGAAACCTGGCACCATCCCTATGGTGAAGCATGGTGGTGGCAGCATCATGCTGTGGCGATGTTTTTCAGCGGCAGGGACTGGGAGACTAGTCAGGTTCGAGGAAAAAATTAACAAAGCAAAGTACAGAGAGATCCTTGGATGAAAATTTCTAAACCTCTTTTTGCTTTGTCATTATGGGGTATTGTGTGTAGATTGAGGGGAAAATAACAATTTTATCCATTTTAGAATAAGGCTAATGTAACAAACGTGGAAAAAGTCAAGGGGTCTGAATACTTTACGAATGCACCATATCTATACGTGGCATCTCAAGTTCGCTCCAGTCCTTGTGTGCCCATTCCTTCACCTGCACTGTTGAACAGGAGGTAAAAGCAAATGCCTTGTGGGCATACACCATATTGCTTTCACCTATACTGGTCCTCTGTAGCTCAGCTGGTAGAGCACGGCGCTTGTAACGCCAAGGTAGTGGGTTCGATCCCCGGGACCACCCATACACAAAAAAAAAATGTATGCACGCATGACTGTAAGTCGCTTTGGATAAAAGCGTCTGCTAAATGGCATATTATATTATTATTATTATTATTATATCTTTCCACACCAGTGCAGATGTAGGAAGAACAATTTAGAATATTGAAATTATTATCTGCTTTTACTCTTCAGCACCTCATACAGGTTCTTTAGACATCACACTTCCAAACTCTAGATGCCAGCTTGCCCAGGTGCATGCAAGGTAGCTGGATGCATCATGACTCATGCCCTTTGATCTTGAACGTGCAATCATCTAATTGGCCTGATCCCACCGACTAGCTTCTTTGACACGTGGCATGAATTGTACAGTACCTTTTAAAGTATTCTACTTAGCAAATCACAGAGTAGATTAGTTATGTGACTGTGTCAATTGAAGTGCTGATGGAGAGTATTCCTTCTAACCCCCCCCAAATTGTAAAGTGGTTATCCCACTGGCTATAGGGTGAACGCACCTATTTGTGAGTCGCTCTGGCTAAGAGCGTCTGCTAAATGACGTTAATGTGCCCTTGAGCAAGGCACTTAACCCTAATTGCTCCTGTAAGTCGCTCTGGTTAAGAGCGTCTGCTAAATGACTAAAATGTAAAAAAAAAATGTAAAATGTAATGAGAGTCAGGAAGCATGGTGACATTGAAGTAATGCTTTTTCTAGTTGCGGACTAGGGCACTTATCACGGAATGAAGGATATAGGCTAGCAAATGTCTCAAGTTGCAAACAATAGGCAATCAGCAAGCTAATGGCTATTTAGCATGCAGTTATTCAAATACATGAGTGTAGAAACTTCTAGCCCCATCAGAACACTGACGTGCTGCTATGGACGCCCAGAACAGGTGATGCCTTGAGCGTTCAAAAACAAAGAGCAGTCTGGATTCTGGAAACGGGTTCAGAGCGCTAGTTAGGTAAAAATAATGCCATATAGATACACAGCTAACTTAGAATACACCTTTAATTAAAATCTCTCAACCAGCCTAGTTAGTTGATTTGAAATTAGGCTGTTAGGAAATAAACAACCGCTAGCTACTACTGCGTAAATTAACCTGCGAACAACAGTATTTGCAGGTAGAAAAATAATATAATGGAAAAACATTGACTTAAGTAAGCTAGCTAGGCACATTGATGAGAGGTGACAGAACAGACCCCTACCTTCTCGAGCCGGCAGCAGTTCCGTTTTTTGAAGCAGGCTGGTTTACCCAAAAATATATACACAAATTGAAAGAGCACGACTTAACTTGCAACAAGCTAAAACTTTCAATGTCGTATTATTTGCGTTGTACGCTTCTTGATGTATTGAGTGAACCTCTTCGTAGCCACACTATTAACTGTTTCTTGATTTTTCCCTTGCGATCACCGGCTTGTTCTCACCATAGGGCCCAGAACGCGGCGTGATCTCATTGGATCCACTCGAGTCGTTGTTCCGCTAGGAAAGCGCTGACCCATAGAGCCTGCCTTCACGTTCCAAGTACTGCAAAGTGATAGGTCCACGTGCAGCGATGGCTGGCGAGAAGAAATCTTTGTCTATGTGATTGGTCCACGTTCAATTAATGGGCGTAAAATTATATAATGGCGTTTTCTTAAGGTTACCTATTTTATCGGCGACTACTAGTAGTTGTAGTCAAAACACTGTTGTAGTCCATTTCATTTTAATTGATTACTGAATGATTGATCTGACTATCCATGACTTATTGGTACATATTTTTCTTGAGTTTAATGAGTTCTTATCTTTACCTTATGCAAGGGAAAAAAATTACAATTTAATGGGTGGTATGTCAAAACTAACATAATGAACAACTTTATTTTCTGAGCCTCACACTTACAGCCTGCCACCTACATTGATAAACATGTATCGTATTGATTGAAATTTCTTTTTTTAAATACATTAATTTACATGTATCGTTCTCCACCCTCTCTCTCACATGACTTGTGGATGGGTATCACATGATTTCTTCACTGTGAGGATACAGTGCGAATAAAATGGCTGCGTTCTTACAGTGGAGACGATTTGTATTTTTTGATAAAGAGACAGTGAAGGACGCTGGAGATAATGGGAAAAACTTCGTCCTCCCCGTCGGCATATCGGCTTGTGACTCGGGCCGGGGCCACATCGTTCTTGGAGATATCCTTTCAGTGTTTTCCATCATGTAAACAGTCTAGCTAGTTAGCTATTGCTCGCTAACTTGCTGCACAGACACCCCTCCCTGCAAGCAGTCTGTCTAAGCAAGTGAGCTAATAATGCTTCCTAGTTAGCTCCAAGTAAGGAAATTATTAATAATGATTGCATTTAGCTAGTTAAATGGTAACATTTGATTTGGCTAGTTTGCTAGCTGACTTTAGCAAACAGCCAGGACATGAGCCTTATTTAGTTAACTTGGTAAGAAGTTAGCCTTGGTACCAGTCCGAGAAATTAGCTTGAGAGGAATGAATCAACAATCTCAGACTGGCTCCCAGGCATTCAAAGGCACAATCAACGGAATCAATGGCCATGTTCAAATAGGCCCTAAAATTACTGATGCACCAAGTCTGAAACCAACAGGACCCTGAAAATATTCTACCCCCAAGCCATAAGACTGCTAAATAGTTAATTAAATAGTTTACAATAGCTACCCGGACTATCTGCTTTGACCCTTTTTGCACAAACTCTTTTGACTCATCACATACGCTAGGGCTTTTCAACTATATTCTTATGGGGGCAAGATTTGAAAAAGGTTATTTACAGGGGGGCCAGACTTTTTCTACATGGGATTACTCTTCCTAAAACCGGTATAAAAAAACAGTGTACAAACAATTATAATCTTATAAAGATTAGCCTAATTCAGTGCATCAAATTGTTTAAATAACTGAACACATTTGTACTTTTAAAACAGTTGACCTGCATCACATTAAGGCATTTCTACTTTCCTGTCTGTTTTACATACAGTGCCTTTGGAAAGTATTCAGACCCCTTGACTTTTTCCACATTTTGTTAGGTTACAGCCTTATTCTAAAATGGATGACATTGGATCTTTGCCTCGATCCTGACTAGTCTCCCAGTCCCTGCCACTGAAAAACATCCCCACACATGATACTGCAACCACCATGCTTCACCGTAGAGATGGTGCCAGGATTCCTCCAGACGTGATGCTTGGAATTCAGGCCAAAGAGTTGGATCTTGGTTTCATCAGACCAGAGAATCTTGTTTCTCATGGTCTGAGAGTCTTTAGGTGCCTTTTGGAAAACTCCAAGCGGGCTGTCATGTACCTTTTACTGAGGAGTGGCTTCCATCTGGCCACTCTACCATAAAGGCCTGATTGGTGGAGTGCTGCAGGGATGGTTGTCCTTCTGGAAGGTTCTCCCATCTCCACAGAGGAACTCTGGAGCTCTGTCAGAGTGACCATCGGGTTCTTGTTCACCTCCCTGACCAACGCCCTTCTCCCCCGATTGCTCAGTTTGGCCGGGTGGCAAGCTCTAGGAAGAGTCTTGGTGGTTCCAAACATCTTCCATTTAAGAATGATGGAGGCCACTGTGTTCTTTGGGACCTTCAATGCTGCAGACATTTTTTAGTACCCCTCCCCAGATCTGTGCCTCGACACAATCCTGTCTCGGAGCTCTACGGACAATTCCTTTGACCTCATGGCTTGGGTTTTGCTCTGACATGCACTGTCAACTGTGGAACCTTATTTAGACAGGTGTGTGCCTTTCCAAATCATGTCCAATCAATTGAATTTACCACAGGTGGACTCCAATCAAGTTATAGAAACATTTAAAGGATGATCAATTGAAACAGGATAGCAGAGGGTCTGAATACTTATGTAAATAAGGTATTTCTATTTTTATTAGTTTATGAATTTGCTAAATATTCAAAAAACCTGTGTTCGCTTTGTCATTATGGGGTATTGTGTGTAGATTGCTGAGGATTTTATTTTATTTAACCCATTTTAGAAAAGGCTGTAATGTAACAAAATGTGGAATGTCAAGGGGTCTTAATACTTTCCAAAGGCACTATAGCTTCACAATAGAGTTTTTATTTACACATAGGAAACCTTTTATGCATGGCATATCTCAGTTGATCAGCATTACATTCTGTTCTATTTTCTATTTCTTTATCACTTCATTATTTTCTCTCTTGTTTTTTTACACAGAAACCTTTTATGCAAGACGTATCCCAGCTTTTGCAGGGAAGTCTCTCTTCCCCCGCATCAGTAGAGAACGGGTCCCTATAACAAACTGCACCACCTCTGTGGGGACTTAATCTCGTTGCGAAATTAGCTTTCAGTTTATCTAAAAACTCAGACATCACGGGAGTGATCTGTACTGATGATGACTGAATATAGTTGTGTAGGGAAATTGAGCGTTTTATTTGGGCTCAAATCAGAGGAGAAAATAACAATTATTTTGAAAATATGTTTTTCAATCACATCAATAACCGTTTTATCCCTCCCCTCAGAGTGCAAATTTGGTTTGGTCTCTTGCGTTTTTATGGGACTAATAATAAAGACGTCATTAAACGGTAAAAATGAATTACCTTTTAATGTGGCATGAACACAACCCGACATTATATTTTTATGTGGTTGTCAAACAAATCAGTTAAAATAGTAGGCTATCTGTGCATGTTCTTCCACTCCAAAATAATCCCAGCATCCAAACTGCATGTATACTCGTGCCATTTGATGAATGGAAAACACCAAAAAAGTGTGCCAAATGACATTCAGTCCTGGGAAAAACGGGATGGTCACCTTAACACTCACGGTCAACTTACTAGACTAGGCTACAATGTGTATTACCATTAACTTCAAATAGGCCTAGCAGTAGCCAGTTATGTAGCGGTAAAAAAATAGGTGGTTAAACTCCGAAAAAAGTAATGCTCCCTATACTGTCAAGGCATTTTTCTGAAAAAGGTGGGTAAACGGCGTTTACTTGGGTTTACCTGCCACTAGGCCTACACCACTGCCGGTAGTCTACCATCTCAGCCGAGGCAATTTTACCCACATGAACACACGCAGAACAGGTAGCCTACATTCAATATAATACATGAGTTGAATAAAAACATGTTTTACACCCTAGTTCATGAGTTGTCCATAATTTATGAGTCTTCACAGATCGTGTGACATAAAACACTACTTTTCTTTCCTTACATTAATGACACTTATGACAGTGTTAGGCTATTTGTCATTGTTAAGCATTTAACAATTGAATTAGAACATTGAACTTAAACCCTGTACGAATCATGGATCTTGGAGATCTCGGAAAATGCACTGTAAGTGTAACTATGCCTACGTAATATTTAATTATGATTCGCCGTGAAAACAGTTCTCATGGGCACACAAATCCAAAATAATATAGGCCTATGCCATTACAAAATCGAATGCTTCTAACCGAACGTTAATCTCTTCTAACCGAAAGAGTCATCTTATAGGTCTACTGTCATTAATAATATAAATAATAAAGCTAATAAATGGTCTACTACTTCTGGCCACGGATGGCATGGAGAACACCAGTACCCGCCTGCACCTGAAAAACAAAGCATTGAGCTCTCTAAACAGCTGACTGCAAACATGGATACATCTAATGCATTGAAATAAAGGCATATGCTATTTTTATCAAGGACGCATGGCAAACAAATGGAGAAAATTAGGAAGTACAAAGGAACATCTATACGTAAAGGCACTCAGCTGAGGCCGACATTCAGCACTACTGAGTGGACAGCGCCGTCACATAGAAATAAATGGTTTAACAAGGGATGTCAAACTCATTCCATGGAGGGCCTAGTGTCAAGCCCTAGACAACCAGGTGTGGGGAGTTTCTTACTAATTAGTGACCTTAATTCATCAATCAAGTACAAGGGAGGAGCGAAAACCCGCAGACACTTGGCCCTCCATGGAATGTTTGACACCTTTGGTTTAAACCATGACATTGATGTGGGTGTGTTCGTTTCATTTGGAAGCTTTTATTTTCATATTTACCACTGTAAAACATATTTACCACTACATTTTACATTTTAAACAAATAGGACAATGGCTAAATTAGCATTATTTAGAGCTAACGTCTCATTCAGTGGAGCTGAGCCCCCCCTGGCTCCCCCGTAATTCGCACCTTGCCTCCCCTGTAGTCCCAAATTAAGTCCATTCAATTAATTGAAGATGTCGCTAAAGAACAAACATCTGATACGAACTCCTCATCAAGTAATTTCGCTAGATATGGCTTTCTTGTGGCGGCAATTGCGGAGAAAAGCAACTATCTCCTCCCTAACATTTACATTACATTTACATTTTAGTCATTTAGCAGACGCTCTTATCCAGAGCGACTTACAGTTAGTGAGTGCATACATTTTTATTTTTTATACTGGAATCGAACCCACAACCCTGGCGTTGCAAATGCCATGCTCTACCAACTGAGCTACATCCCTGCCGGCCATTCCCTCCCCTACCCTGGATGACGCTGGGCCAATTGTGCGCCGCCCCATGGGTCTCCCGGTCGCAGCCGGCTATGACAGAGCCTGGATTCGAACCAGGATCTCTAGTGGCACAGCTAGCACTGCGATGCAGTGCTTTAGACCACTGCGCCACTCGGGAGGGACCTCACATGGGCTGCTCTCTTCAGAGCATTATTACCTTTACTTAGCCATCGAACATCCTTTATGTAAAAGTAGGCTAGATCATGATGCTCAGCAGACTACGAAACAAGCGATGTTGCAGGCTAGATGTTGATTGGATAAAGTTTATGATCGCCATAACTGAGTCCATGGTGTTTTTTAACTCACCGCTGAGTTAAGCGCAAAGCACACTCTGATATATCAGGCAGTGTAGAGATCTCATCTGCGGTGAAAGAGCCGATAGGCAGGCAGACAGACCTGTACCCATGTAAGCAGCTCTGATTGGCTGTAACTGGTATGTTGGGTGATATAGAGGGGATTCGATTAATCTCGCCGGGCGCCTGTATAGGTGTGTTTTGCACCGGCTTAAAGTTGATTGCATTCGATTTGGAACCGGGCGTGAGCCAAGTGCCTCGCTCAGTCCGACGACAAAGTCTGCTCAGAACAAAAGTGACGTAGGTTAGCACGTACACTATGAGTAGGATTCCGTGTTTTCACATGGAAAGTGATTGCTTTTGATAAAAACGCTTTATCTGCCTTCCCAATGAAAACTATAGAAAATTCACACATATATTTTATGGAAAGGAGATGTTGTATGTTTCTTATTTTTTTTGTCATTTAGCAGATGCTCTTATCCAGAGTGACTTACAGTAGCAATTAGGGTTAAGTGCCTTGCTCAAGGGCACATCGACAGATTTTTCACCTAGTCGGCTCGGGGATTAGAACCAGCAACCTTTCTGTTACTGGCACAACGCTCTTAACCACTAAGATACCTGCCGCCTCTGAATGCTGGCTCATGATGCTTTGTTGAAAACATAACCAAGCGGTGCAGATTGCTGTTCGATTTGAGCAGGGCGCTCGTCCCTCACCGACTTCGCCTGGCCACGTGACGGGCCATATGCCGTTTCAACCCAGGCCAGTTTAATAGAAATCTGCCATTGATTGACAGCACTTAATGGGTGGGACTACAGGAAAAACTATTATACCATTGGAGAATATTGAATGAAGGCTCATTTTGGCACTAAACATCAGATAAACATTTGTTTTTATGTTGTTTGTTTTTTGTCACTGACCTACACACAATACCCCATAATGTCAAAGTGGAATTATGTTTTTAGAAATTGTTACAAATTAATTAAAAATGAGAAGCTGGAATGTCTTGAGTCAAGTATTCAACCCCTTTGTTATGGCATGCCTAAATAAGTTCAGGAGTAAACATTTGCTTAGCAAGTCACATCATAATAACTTGCATGGACTCACTCTTTGTGCAATAATAGTGTTTAACATGATTTCTGTATGACTACCTCATCTCTGTACCCCACACATACAATTATCTGTAAGGTACCTCAGTCGAGCAGGGAATTTCAAACACAGATTCAACCACAAAGACCAGGGAGGTTTTCCAATGCCTTGCAAAGAAGGGCACCTAATGGTAGATGGGTAAAACAAAAATAAGCAGACATTGAATATCCCTTTGAGCATGATGAAGTTATTAATTACACTTTGGATGGTGTATCAATGCACCCAGTCACTACAAAGATACAGTCGTCCTTCCTAACTCAGTTGCCGGAGAGGAAGGAAACCACTCAGGGATTTCACCATGAAGCCAATGGTGACTTTAAAACAGTTAGTGTGTAATGGCTGTGATAGGAGAAAACTGAGGATGGATAAAAAACATTGTAGTTACTCCACAATACTAACCTAATTGACAGAGTGAAAAGAAGGAAGCCTGTACAGAATAAAAATATTCCAAAACATGCATCATGTATGGAACAAGGCACTAAAGTAATACTGAAAAGAAATGTGGCAAAGCAATCAACTTTTTGTCCTGAATACAAAGTGTTATGTTTGGAGAAAATCCAATACAACACATTATTGAGTACCACTTTCCATATTTTCAAGCATATCGTGGCTACATCATGCTGTGGATATGCTTGTAATTGTTAAGGACTGGGGAGTTTTTCAGGATAAAAAAGAAACAGAATGGAGCTAAGCACAGGCAAAATCCTAGAGGAAAACCAGTTTCAGTCTGCTTTCCACAAGACACTGGGAGATTAATTCACATTTCAGCAGGACAATAACCTAAAACACAAGGCCAAATCTACACTGGAGTTGCATACCTAGAAGACAGTGAATGTGCCTGAGGGGCCGAGTTACAGTTTTGACTAAATCTGCTTGAAAATCTATGGCAAGACTTGAAAATGGTTGTCTAGCAATGACTAACAACCAATTTGACAAAGCTTGAAGAATTTTGAAAAGAATAATGGACAATTTATTGTACAATCCAGATGTGAAAAGCTCTTAGAGACTTATCCAGAAATACCCACAGCTGTAATTGCTGCCAAAGGTGATTCTAACATGTATTGACTCCGGAGTGTGAATACTTATGTACAGTGCATTTGGAAAGTATTCAGACCCCTTGACTTTTTTCACGTTTTGTTACATTACAGCCTTTTTCAAAAATTGATTTAAAGAAAAAATATATATAATAATAATGACCAAGCGAAAACAGGTTTTCTGACATTTTTGCAAATGTATTAAAAATAAAAAAACAGAAATACCTTATTTACATAAGTATTCAGACCCTTTGCTATGAGACTCGAAATTGAGCTCAGGTGCATCCTGTTTCCATTGATCATCCTTGAGATGTTTCTACAACTTGATTGGAGTCCACCTGTGATAAATTCAATTGATTGGACATGATTTGGAAAGGCAAACACCTGTCTATATAAGGTCCCACAGTTGACAGTGCATGTCAGAGCAAAAACCAAGCCATGAGGTCGAAGGAATTGCCCGTAGAGCTCCGAGACAGGATTGTGTCGATGCACAGATCTGGGGAGGGGTACTAAAAAATGTCTGCAGCATTGAAGGTCCCCAAGAACACAGTGGCCTCCATCATTCTTAAATGGAAGATGTTTGGAACCACCAAGACTCTTCCTGAGCTGGCCGCCCGGCCAAACTGAGCAATCGGGGGAGAAGGGCGTTGGTCAGGGAGGTGAACAAGAACCCGATGGTCACTCTGACAGAGCTCCAGAGTTCCTCTGTGGAGATGGGAGAACCTTCCAGAAGGACAACCATCTCTGCAGCACTCTACCAATCAGGCCTTTATTGTAGAATGGCCAGACGGAAACCACTCCTCAGTAAAAAGCACATGACAACCCGCTTGGAGTTTGCCAAAAGGCACCTGAAGGACTCTCAGACCATGAGAAATAAGATTCTCTGATCTGATGAAGCAAGATTGAACTCTTTGGCCTGAATGCCAAGCGTCACGTCTGGAGGAAACCTGGCACCATCCCTACAGTGAAGCATGGTGGTGGCAGCATCAGGCTGTAACGTAACAAAATGTGGGGTCTGAATACTTTCCGAATGCACTGTAAATTAGATATTTCTTTATTTCATTTTCAATAAATTTGCAAACATTTCTCAAAACATGTTTTCACTTTGTCATTACATCACTTTGGGGCATTTTGTGTAGATGGGTGAGAAAAAACATGTATTTAATCAATTTTGAATTCAGGCTGTAACAACAAAATGTGGAATAAGTCAAGGGGTATAAATACTTTCTGAAGGCACTGTATATGTACATAGCTACCTCAATTACCTCGTGCCCCTGCACATCGACTCGGTACTGGTACCCCGCGTATATAGCCAATTTATCGTTACTCATTGTGTATTTATTCCTCGTGTTATTATTTTTATATTTTAAAATTATTTATCATTTTTTCTCTCTGCATTGTTGGGAAGGGCCGTAAGTAAGCATTTCACTGTTAGTCTACACCTGTTGTTTACAAAGCATGTGACAAATAAAAGTTGATTTGATGTACAGTAATGCTGTGGAAGGCTTGCTTACACCAGTCCAGTCACGTCATAATATATTATATGCTAGCCATGACTAAGAATAGTACGTATTTTCATTGCTTGTACATTACTCTTCTTAGTCCTATGGCTAATTATATGCATTTTGAGAGTATTCGAACAGGGCATTGCCTTTGTAATTCTCTCCCTAACTCCATGCAAATGGCCATTTGTCTCTCCTGATCTATATTGATGCTTCCTTGACCCTGAATAAATTACATATGGACGGTCAGATCTGGTTTTTGACACGCTCACTACAGTTGTCCTCCTTTCAGGCTTACAAGCTGCGAGTGACCCACCTGTACCAGCTCAAGCAGCACAGCATTTTGGTCTCGGTTGGGCAGGACGAGCAAGGAATTAACCCCTTGGTAAGAACATTTGAAGGATGTATTTAATACAGACTATCAAAAAAAGAGTGTGTTAGTTGGTTATTTGTGAACTGTTATTAAAAACCCAGCTGTTTCCCAGGTGAAGGTATGGAATCTGGACAAGCGAGACAGCGGGAATCCTCTGTGTACCAGAATATTCCCAGCTATTCCTGGGAACAAGCCAACAGAGGTGTCCTGCCTCACTGTACACGAGAACCTCAACTTTATGGCCATTGGTAAGCAGCATTTCTTCAGCACTACCTATCAGTCAGCTGTAGTTTAGATTTGGGTTTGACATTTGTGTTTGCTCCCTGATATAAATCGATAATCCCCATGTCCTTGCAGGCTTCACAGATGGCAGTGTGGTGTTGACAAAGGGTGACATCACTCGGGACAGGCACAGTAAAACCCTGACACTGCATGAGGGCACCTGTCCAATCACGGGCCTTGCTTTCCGTCAGCAGGGCAAGGTCACTCACCTATTTGTTGCCTCTCTGGAAAAAGTCCACGTAAGTAATTCGAGTTTTCCAATGCCACTCTGATAAGTGAAGTCCTTACAATCGCTTTTGAGATCAATTCAGTCAATTCAGGATATCAATGTAAATTACAATAAAATATTTGAAAAGTGCCACATATTTTCAATGAGGATTTGAATTGATAGATTTGAAATGGCATTGACCCCAAGCCTGTCACCAAACTACTATTACCTTGGAGCATAAGCACTAACTTGCTTCTGTTTCATTTGGTGTTGTTTTACCCCCATGACTAGTGCTACACTTTGATGGTGAAAGAGTACCCTAAACTGGAGCTGGACACCCACGGCTGTGCGCTGCGTTGCTCTGCGCTCACAGACCCCTACCAGGACTCCCAGTTCATCGTCGCGGGGGACGAGTGTGTGTACCTTTACCAGCCCGACGAACGGGGGCCCTGTTTCGCTTTCGACGGGCACAAGCTGCTGGCCCACTGGCACCGGGGATACCTCCTGCTGCTCACCAGGGACACCAAGTCTCCCAACAAGTAAGAACAACTCCCTCAGATGCTGGCACAGCAGCCATTTCTATTGAGCGGGTCCCCTAAGGTTCAAGGCCAGGGTCAGTAAGAGTCTTTATTTATTACAACAATGAAACACAACAGTTTTATACTAAATCTATTTATGTTGAATTGGAAAAACGCAGTAGGTTGTATTTTCAACCAAACCACCCATGCATATTTTCAGGTGATATAACTATATTAACTCCTATGACAATGTATTGAATACAAGTTCTGTACTAAGGTCTGAATTTGGGAGCAGAGAGACGTCTCCGTCGGAGAAGCAAACCTTGACTATCTACGACCTGGACAACAAGTTCATTGCCTACAGCGCTTCCTTTGACGACATCATTGACGTTCTGGCCGAATGGGGCTCTTTCTACATCCTGACTCGGGACGGAAAGATGTTTGTTCTGCAGGAGAAGGACACTCAGACCAAGCTAGAGGTGAGCCCAAAGTACACTGACTGACGTCATGCCTTCTTTTCCCCTCAAACGTATTATGTTACACTCTGTACCGTATTGAACTGGAATCTGGAGGGCTACAGGTTTTAGATCCCAGGTATTGTTTACTGCCGTTGTGCCATTGAGTAAGGCACTTAACTCTTCAATCTGTCTTTAGATGCTATTCAAGAAGAATCTGTTTGTGATGGCCATAAACCTGGCTAAGAGCCAGCACTTGGACAGCGACGGGCTATCTGAGATCTTCAGGCAGTACGGTGACCACCTCTACGTGAAGGGGGACCACGACGGAGCCATCCAACAGTACATCCGGTAATGCTCACCCAGGGGTCGATGCATCTAACTTCAACTTCATAATACATAGTTAATAATGATAAATAGGATTTATATACAGTTTTTGTAAACCCCATGTCATGTCATAGATGCTGATATAGTTAATATTAAACATGGTATTTTATAGACAAGTAATCCCATAGAGTTGGGATTGTATAACATCAATAAGGAAATGTGTAATGTATATATATTCACTTTGTAGTGTGTCTTTGGTATGCAGAAAAAGTGACCAGTGGTTAATGCTAATTGAAACCACTTGGTTATTGTTTTATGGGTTGTGCCATGTTTGCTATCTTGCAAAAAGTACTGACAGCTACCGACCCTTGTCTTATCCAATCAAGTCCTGTTGACATGATCAACAAGCCGCATTCACTAATCCTTAAGCATTTCTGTCAGTTGGAATCTTGGTGGGGATATGTGAGAGGAGGTCAGTGTTTCCCCTACCTTTGTATAGGCAAGGTGGGCTCTCCCAAATTGGGCTTCAAATGCTTTAAATTGAACATGATGGTATCAGAGGAAAACAATGGAAAGCAAACCCTAGCGGTGTTTAATTGAGAGAAAATGGGTTTTGTGCTCCAACAGTGGGCGTAGAGGGGCTGCCTAAAATATGTACTGAATGCGGACAGAAGGCAGCACCAAAAGCCTGTATTTTTTTTTTTTTGTCATTTAGCAGACGCTCTTATCCAGAGCGACTTACATGAGCAATTAGGGTTAAGTGCCTTGCTCAAGGGCACATCGTCAGATTTTTCATCTAGTCGGCTCGGGGATTAGAACCAGCGACCTTTTGGTTACTGGCACAACGCTCTTAACTACTAAGCTACCTGCCGCCCAGCTACCTGCCGTGTTCCATCATATGTCCATTGAAAACGCAACCTCTCTGCCCTCCCTCCCTTAGCACTATCGGGAAGCTGGAGCCCTCTTACGTGATACGTAAGTTTCTGGATGCTCAGCGGATCCACAACCTAACGGCCTACCTGCAGGCTCTGCACTGGAAGTCGCTGGCCAACGCCGACCACACCACCCTGCTTCTCAACTGCTACACCAAGCTCAAGGACAGCTCTAAGCTTGAAGAGTTCATCAAGGTTAGCATTTATACTGTAAACCAAGGGTTGGTCTCCAACTCCGGTCCAGGGGTTAGCTGTGTATGCAGGCTTTCATTCCAGGCCTTCAGCTAATCATGGTCCAGACTAAAGTCTGGGATTAGTTGAAGCAGGTGTGTTAGTGATGGCTTGGAACAAAAGCATATACACCCAGTTGCTCTCAAGGACTAGAATCATTGCCCTGAGAAGGATTCAGAATACCATTTTGGGTAAGAAACTGATGATAGTAATAATAATATATGCCATTTAGCAGACGCTTTTATCCAAAGCGACTTACAGTCATGCGTGCATACATTTTTATGTATGGATGGCCCCGTGAATAGACATTGAATCCACAAATATGTACGACATCATGCACGTAAGGTCTCTCAGCGCTCTGACATAATTTCATTTCCCCTTCGACCACCTTCAGAGCAGCGAGAGCGAGGTCCACTTCGACGTGGAGATCGCCATCAAGGTGCTGCGCCAGGCAGGCTACCACAGTCATGCCGTCTTCCTGGCCGAGAGGCACCAGCACCACGAGTGGTACCTGAAGATCCAGCTGGAGGACCTGAAGGTAATAGAGATTAGAAAGTAGTAGAGGATGTAGTACTGTTAAGATCAGCCATCTGGGCTAGATATATAGACATCGGGTCCCCCCTAGCTCACATGGCCTATCTGACAGATCTCTTAATCTTGTCCCTGATAAGATAAGCTAGGTGAGCTTTGAGTCTGTCTCAGGCTGTTGGACAATGTTGAAATGAGCAGCAATGTCATTTGATGGTATTTAGATAGGAGTAAACAATAAATTATGTTATGAATGAAGGCTTCCCCAGGATGTTGCATTACTGAAATTCAGAGTCAAAATCGACATTAAGGATAGTTTTAACATCCTTGAGCAGCAGGGTGTTGTGGTAGGCGTTGGCCAGAGACTTCCGTGCATGGCCTGCAGGTTGGCCATCAGGTTTTAGATCCGCTGAGCATCCAGAAACGTACGTATCACGTAAGAGGGCTCCAGCTTCCCAGCTGAGTTGCGTTTTCAATGGACATATGATGGAACACAACGGCACAGGCTTTTGGTGCTGCCTTCTGTCCGCATTCAGTACATATTTTAGGCAGCCCCTCTACTCCCATTGTTGGATCACAAAACCCATTTTCAAATTACAATGTATGATTATAATTGGACAAAGAGCCTCTTCTCCTACCCTTGGGTAAAGTCAATCCGATTTGAACAACCCTTCACCGAAATTCAAACCCCTTTGTCTCCCTCCTCTATGTTCCATACAGAACTACCAGGAGGCCTTGCGCTACATTGGGCGACTTCCCTTCGAGCAGGCAGAGAGAAACATGAAGCGCTACGGCAAGACCCTGATGCACCACGTCCCTGATGGCACCACACTGCTCCTCAAGGGCCTGTGTACCGACTACCAGCCCAGCTGGGACACCGCAGACAGAGACAGCCTGGACAGGGGCCCGGCGGCGGCCAACAAGGTCAGCCGGTTAGCCGTTAGCGGTTAACCTCACCAGGCAGCCACATCACCTGGGCAGCCGAGCACGAAGCCCATTAGTCCTAGCAACACTAGTCTAGCAGTATTAGCACTTCACTTTGGATTTAAGATCCTTTCTCTAATTAAAATGGCTTTATCAATTTAGTCTAAGACAAGGAATACAGCTTATATTGAGAAGGATGGTACTATTTCTAATGGTTATAATGATAAAGTTATGCTAAAATGCATATATCATGGAATAGTAATAACACTACTCATTGTAGTGGTCAGAACCTGGTAATATCAGGATGTAGGACGGGACATAAACCTAACAACTTCAATGGCCCAAAGTTTGGTTCAAATTGGATGTTACGTACTATATCTATTGAATATGATATGAATCCTATACATTTAAATGGCCAATTTAGGTGCAATCAATTAGCAGACATTTTTTCAGAGATCAAATTATATTTCAACACAATAATGTTGCAGGAATGCTAATCTTATCCGTTTCTAACTACAGAAATGATTTCAAAACAATCTGAGATGGTGGGTGTCATGGCTTGATGAAATTACATGGAACAACCCTGTACCTTTATCTCCCAGGCCAATTCAGAGGAGTTCATCCCTGTGTTCGCTAATAACCCGCGGGAGCTAAGGGCCTTCCTGGAGCACATGATGGAGGTGGAGCCCTTCTCCTCTCAGGGGGTGTATGACACGCTGCTAGAACTACGGCTGCAGGACTGGGCACATGAACAAGACCCTGAGGTGATGGGAACACACACAAACACATATTTGTACTGAAAACCGCGACATGTTCAGTCAAACAACCTAAACTCATATAGATATACATTTACAAAATGCTACAAATGAAATATTAGATGACATACCTGCAGCCTAAATGACTTTGACGTAAGTTTTCAGAATAAACACCTTTCCTCACCTTGTAGTGTCACCAATTCATGTTAAACTATTTATGTGTTTTGTCTGGAGTATCAAATGTATTTCTTTTGTCTGGTATGTCATCTTTCTATTTTTTCTGGCAGAGGAAGAAGGTCCTGCAGGGGGCAGCACTGTCGTTGCTGAGGAGCGACAACACCGTATTTGACAAGGCACTCGTCCTGTGCCAGATGCACAACTTCAAAGAAGGGGTCCTGTACCTCTATGAGAAGGGCAAGCTGTGAGTCTTCCTGTCTCTAAACCTTTGCAGTCAGAAACACATGAGCCCAATTCCAATATTTCTGCTTCTCTCTGAAGTGTACATTCGTTCACTCCACCTCGTGGATTTAAAACCATGGGATTGGTGTAGCCGGATTGTCTACCATTTAACACCAAGATCCAACGCTTTAAAATCCATGATGGAGAGTGAACAAGTGCAGACTTTGGGGACTTCATTGGTGTGTACTGATATTAAATATTATTATCAATGATGTCATTTGAATGATGTTGTTGATGATGTCATTCTCTCTTTAGGTACCAGCAGATCATGCACTACCACATGCAGAACGAGGAGTACGGCAAAGTGGTGGAGGCCTGCAAGCGCTACGGTGACCAGGAAGTGTGCCTGTGGGAGCAGGCGCTGGGCTACTTTGCCCGCAAAGAGGAGAACTGCAAGGCCTACATCAGCCAAGTCCTGCAGCACATCGACCAGAACAACCTGATGCCTCCCTTATTGGGTGAGCGTGAGCTGGTGGCCGTTTTTCTCAGTATTTCTCCTTCTCTGTAGATTAAGACTGGGGCTTTCTGTCGAGATTTGCCTAGTAGTCACTGCCTGAATTTTATCAGACCTCACCAACTTAAAAGTAACTCAAGTGTTCTTTGCAGTTTCCTGCCTTCGCTTCCTTCCTGTTAATGAATGTCTCACTGGCTAGAGTGTTTCTGTTCTGTTTTGACTGCATGGCTAACCTCAAATCAATGGATGAAAACTAGTAGTGATTTTTTAATGTCATATGCACACATCTATGATAAACTTGCCAGTTGTTGGGTTAAGTAACCTATAGGGCTTTATATGTTAATAGGAAAAGTAATTGGAGCATTATAACAGAGTTTGAGAATTTTATTGGGCACTGTTGCTAAGTTTTGTGTGTATGTATGTGCTTGTGTGTCTGTCTATGCGCATGTTGGTCCACAGTGGTGCAGACGCTGGCACACAACTCCACGGCTACACTGTCGGTCATCAAGGACTACCTCATCAACAAGCTGCAGAGGGAGACACAGCAGATCGAGGACGACGAGCGCAAGATCTGCCAGTACCGTGAGGAGACTGCCCACCTCCGCACCGAGATCCAGGAGCTTAGAAGCAGGTGAGGGACAGGAAAATCATAGCCAAAATCCAGTCCAAAAACAACCCCTATCCCCTAGAGCTGGGTCATGTTCACAACTGGAGTTTCCTCCATATTCCATCCATCCAGTTGTTTGACATCTATGTGGGGCGAGAAGTGTCTAGGAGTGGAGGCTAAGGGCAGTCCTGCGCACTAAGATACACAAACACAATCTACATTTGCTTGATGGCTGAACTTTGAAGCAAATGTAACTATATTTGGAATGTGTTTTTAGTACTGTATTTTGAAAGCTTGATTTGACCTCCCAAAGACCATTCATTGAAACTGTACTGATTTCGATGTATTTTCTTGTTTCTCTCTCCACCTCTTTTCTCACTTACAGTGCAAAGATTTTCCAGAAGACCAAGTGCAGCATGTGTAACAGCCCCCTCGAGCTGCCCTCTGTTCACTTCCTGTGCAGTCATTCATTCCACCAGCACTGCTTCGAGAGCTATGCCGAGAGCGAGGCCGAGTGTCCCACTTGTACACCGGAAAACCGCAAGGTCATGGACATGCTGCGTGCCCAGGACCAGAAGCGAGACCTGCACGACCACTTCACCAGACAGGTGAAACACACACACAAATAAATACTTTATTTGAATCACCAATCAAATGTACATTAAAAAAGGATCCAAACATTTCAAAGGTCTCTGTATGCAGGGCACTCAAGGGTACAGAAAGCACCTCCTTCTTCAAACAGCTAGGCTGCCCACGACAGCTGAAACAGTGCAGTACCTAGCCAACTGCTTTGCCCGTAATCTGGAGGCCTCACACTGCAAGCCTGTGTACGTGGCCGAGACTGTCAAATATCAGCGCCACCAGCTTGTACCTACACCCGGGGTTGTCAAGCGTGCCACGAGGGGCTGGTATTTAAGAAGCTCATTGGCAAAGGCCTGCTCCATGTTGCAGTCAAATGAGCAGCCCACTTACAAAATGAATGCTTCCCCCCACAACAACCATATTTGGCGTATTTGGCACACAGCAAAATACATCATCATACAACATCAAACCAGCTTCCTCTTACACAAGAATGCTTATGGATTCGCTGACTATCAGGTCGACAAGACGGTCATGTTTAGCGATGTACAAAGCCTTGTATGGACAGCAATCATTCACAACATGGGCAATGGACTCCATTACATTTGACTCATGTAGAATACAAAATGGGTCATGGTTTGCAGGGTACCAGAGTGCTAGATTACACACACACACACACACGGAAATACCCTCTTTGCTTGTCTTTTCTCTTTCTGTCTCTCTTCTCTCCCTCTTGTGTTCGAATATGCTATATTGGCACGACATAAAACTACAAAGTTTTGTATAGTGGTCAATTCATTGAATAAGAAGTAGTAATAGTGCAACAATTAATACACTGCTCAAAAAAATAAAGGGAACACTTAAACAACACAATGTAACTCCAAGTCAATCACACTTCTGTGAAATCAAACTGTCCACTTAGGAAGCAACAATGACTGACAATAAATTTCACATGCTGTTGTGCAAATGGAATAGACAACAGGTGGAAATTATAGGCAATTAGCAAGACACCCCCAATAAAGAAGTGGTTCTGCAGGTGGTGACCACAGACCACTTCTCAGTTCCTATGCTTCCTGGCTGATGTTTTGGTCACTTTTGAATGCTGGCGGTGCTTTCACTCTAGTGGTAGCATGAGACGGAGTCTACAACCCACACAAGTGGCTCAGGTAGTGCAGCTCATCTAGGATGGCACATCAATGCGAGCTGTGGCAAGAAGGTTTGCTGTGTCTGTCAGCGTAGTGTCCAGAGCATGGAGGCGCTACCAGGAGACAGGCCAGTACATCAGGAGACGTGGAGGAGGCCGTAGGAGGGCAACAACCCAGCAGCAGGACCGCTACCTCCGCCTTTGTGCAAGGAGGAGCACTGCCAGAGCCCTGCAAAATGACCTCCAGCAGGCCACAAATGTGCATGTGTCTGCTCAAACGGTCAGAAACAGACTCCATGAGGGTGGTATGAGGGCCCGACGTCCACAGGTGGGGGTTGTGCTTACAGCCCAACACCGTGCAGGACGTTTGGCATTTGCCAGAGAACACCAAGATTGGAAAATTTGCCACTGGCGCCCTGTGCTCTTCACAGATGAAAGCAGGTTCACACTGAGCACATGTGACAGACGTGACAGAGTCTGGAGACGCCGTGGAGAACGTTCTGCTGCCTGCAACATCCTCCAGCATGACCGGTTTGGCGGTGGGTCAGTCATGGTGTGGGGTGGCATTTCTTTGGGGGGCCGCACAGCCCTCCATGTGCTCGCCAGAGGTAGCCTGACTGCCATTAGGTACTGAGATGAGATCCTCAGACCCCTTATGAGACCATATGCTGGTGCGGTTAGCCCTGGGTTCCTCCTAATGCAAGACAATGCTAGACCTCATGTGGCTGGAGTGTGTCAGCAGTTCCTGCAAGAGGAAGGCATTGATGTTATGGACTGGCCCGCCCATTCCCCAGACATGAATCCAATTGAGCACATCTGGGTCATCATGTCTCGCTCCATCCACCAACGTCACGTTGCACCACAGACTGTCCAGGAGTTGGCGGATGCTTTAATCCAGGTCTGGGAGGAGATCCCTCAGGAGACCATCCGCCACCTCATCAGGAGCATGCCCAGGCGTTGTAGGGAGGTCATACAGGCACGTGGAGGCCACACACACTACTGAGCCTCATTTTGACTTGTTTTAAGGACATTACATTAAAGTTGGATCAGCCAGTAGTGTGGTTTTCCACTTTAATTTTGAGGGCGACTCCAAATCCAGACCTCCATGGGTTGATAAATTTGATTTCCATTGATAATTTTTGTGTGATTTTGTTGTCAGCACATTCAACTATGTAAAGAAAAAAGTATTTAATAAGATTATTTCATTCATTCAGATCTAGGATGTGTTGTTTAAGTGTTCCCTTTATTTTTTTGAGCAGTGTATATCAAGTCTGAGGTTCAATATAAAATTCACTAATAAATATTTAATTTAATTTACCACTAAAGATCTCCATCTTTCTTTCAGAACTGATGTGTAGGCTACTACTTCTCTATCATGGCTCACTTTTTATTTCTATGCATTTCAGCTGCACTGCTCCAACGACGGTTTCTCTGTGGTGGCGGACTACTTTGGCCGCGGGGTGTTCAACAAGCTGACCCTGGTCACCGACCCTCCGGGCAGCAAGGCGGGAAGCCTGGATGTAGACCTGCAGAGGGACCTTCTCATCCACACCAAGAGGAAGACTTGAGGGCCACAGGGCCCAACAGACGTGGCTTGCAACCCTACACTATTACCCTTTTCACACAATCATGCTGACCCAAACCAAACTGGGCTGGCTCTGATATTTTATTTTCAAGATTGTCCTTTTCAGTGCGGTTGGTTGGCTTGGTTTAGCTCTGTAGTGTGAAAAGCCCTTAGGTGCTGTGTTATACGGCGGTTGTTAAAACGCGCTTCTGCTCAAGCTAAGAATTCACTACTATACCCAGCTGCAGAGCAGCAGACCCTCTGTTCAATGGGAACCCTGACCCATAGTGCTTTGTTCTGTAGTTCAGGATGCCACACAATATTTAGTCAAGATGAATCCGAGTCAGACTCCTGTTGCAACACCAGTAAGAGATGTGTTGGTAGTTTCTGTTGCTATGCCAGGTGTTTCTTGAATGTGTGATGTTCTGATGCATGTTACTTAACACGTCTGTGCATCTGGGTTGTTGTGTTCATTAGGGCAAATAATTGAAAACATTTTTTAAATGCTTTGCACCGGAAAATGAATATGAGCGTTTCTTATTGGACAAGTCCAGTTAGTCCCTGTTTTCTTCCATTTGGTACCTAATAAACACAACCCTGGTCCAAGCACTGAGCACAGAGGTTCAGAAGAATGAAGGGTTGTTGGAAGGATTGTTTCATGCGCTTGATTTATGTTTATTGTATAATGTACAGTACCAGTCACACCTACTCATTCAAGGGTTTTTCTTTATTTTGACTATTTTCTACATTGTAGAATAATAGTGAAGACATCAAAACTATGAAATAACACATATGGAATCATGTAGTAACCAAAAAAGTGTTAAACAAATCAAAATATATTTTATATTTGAGATTCTTCAAAGTAGCCACCCTTTGCCTTGATAACAGCTTTGCACACTCTTGGCATTCTCTCAACCAGCTTCACCTGGAATGCTTTTCCAACAGTCTTGAAGGAGTTCCCACATATGCTGAGCACTTTTTGGCTGCTTTTCCTTCACTCTGCGGTCCAACTCATCCCAAACCATCTCAATTGGGTTGAGGTCGGGTGATTGTGGAGGCGAGGTCATCTGATGCAGCACTCTCCTTCTTGGTCAAATAGCCCTTATATAGCCTGGAGGTGTGTTGGGTCATTGTCCTGTTGAAAAACAAATGATAGTCCCACTAAGCCATGCTGGTTAAGTGTGCCTTGAATTCTAAATAAATCACTGACAGTGTCACCAGCAAAGTACCATCACACCTCCTCCTCCATGATTCACGGTGGGAACCACACCTGCAGAGATCATCCGTTCACCTACTCTGCGTCTCACAAAGACACAGCGGTTGGAACCAAAAATCTCAAATTTGGACTCATCAGACCAAAGGACAGCTTTCCACCGGTCTAATGTCCATTGCTCGTGTTTCTTGGCCCAAGCAAGTCTCTTCTTATTATTGGTGTCCTTTAGTAGTGGTTTCTTTGCAGCAATTCGACCATGAAGGCCTGATTCACGCAGTCTCCTCTGAACAGTTAATGTTGAGATGTGTCTGTTACTTGAACTCTGTGAAGCATTTATTTGGGCTGCAATTTCTGAGGCTGTTAACTCTAATGAACGTATCCTCTGCAGCAGAGGTAACTCTGGGTCTTCCTTTGCTGTGGTGGTCCTCATGAGAGCCAGTTTCATCATACTGCTTGATGGTTTTTGCGACTGCACTTGAAGAAACTTTCAAAATGTTCCGTATTGACTGACCTTCATGTCTTAAAGTAATGATGGACTGTCGTTTCTCTGCTTATTTGAGCTGTTTTTGCCATAATATGGACTTGGTCTTTTACCAAATAGGGCTATCTTCTGTATACCCTGTCACAACACAACTGATTGGCTCAAACGCATTAAGAAGGAAAGAAATTCCACAAATTAACTTTTAAGAAGGCACACCTGTTAATTGAAATGAATTCCAGGTGACTACCTCACGAAGCTGGTTGAGAGAATGCCAAGAGTGTGCAAAGCTGTCATCAAGGCAAAGGGTGGCTACTTTAAAGAATCTCAAATATAAAATAAATTTTATTTAACACTTATTTGGTTATTACATGATTCCATATGTGTTATTTCATAGTTTTGATGTCTTCACTATTATTCTACAATGTAGAAAATAGTAAAAATAAAGAAAAACCCTGGAATGAGTTGGTGTGTCCAAACGTTTGACTGGTACTGTATATAATGTCTTTGAGCACTCCCTTGTAATTTGCAATCTTGAAGAAGTTAGATTTTTTGGGATCATGTTGAAAGTTTTTTTTCAAAGTAGACTTCTAACTCTTTGAATAAAGAAATATGTCCATATCACACTGAATTTGGCTACCCCCAAACATCAATAATGCCTTTAATACACTTATCTTCAAGGTGATGGCCTGAAATGTGCACATTGTGGCTGGTGAGACATTTTGCCTTTAGTGTGCAATCAACCAGTGATTCTGTAATGTCTTTGTATTTATCTATTTATGTTGTATATATTTGACCTGTACATTACCTGAATAATTAACTAGCACATTTTGTCATATGCATTAGCAGCATACTGTGAAATGTGTCACATGAGATGATCTTGTTGAGAAATGTTTGCGCTTATCAAAATAAATGTGCACAGATAGTCAATGGTCTGTGTAATCATTGTGTGACGGTTTATTGTTTGATATACAATTTATGGTACAGCTAAGGTTTGAATACAATTTCCCATTTCTAACCCCTCCAGAGATCCAACACAGCAAAGGTGGTAATCGCGAGACTTGGTATCCGTACGCTGTTTGGCTTTCATGGAGAGCAGAGAAACAAAAGTTAAGTAAAAAGTCAGATTATCTTTCACAAATGAATTGTCCACAATTGGACGTACTGCCAAATTCTGTAAAACGATGTTGGAGGTGGCTTATGGTAGAAAAATTAACATTACATTTTCTGGCAACAGCTCTGGTGGACATTCCTGCAGTCAGCATGCCAATTGCACGCTCCCTCAACTTGAGACATCTGTGACATTGTGTTGTGTGACAAAACTGCAGATTGTAGTGGCCTTTTATTGTCCCCAGCACAAGGTGCAACTGTGTAATGGTCATGCTGTTTAATCAGCTTTTTGATATGCCACACCTGTCAGGTGTAGATGGATTATCTTGGCAAAGGAGAAATGCTCACTAACAGGGATGTAAACAAATTTGTGCACATAATTTGAGATAAATAAGCTTTTTATGTGTATGGAACATTTCTGGGATCTTTTATTCCAGCTCATGAAACATGTGACCAACACTTTACATGTTGCATTTATATTTTTGTTTAGATGTAATGTATATCAAAATATCAAATGACTTTATTCTTGCTATGTAACTACTGCCATGTGTGTAGTGACTATGATGACCTTTTTGTCACTGTGGAAATCAAAGAGCTATTTCAGTACATCACTCGGTGAGTGGCGCCTGCAGCTCAGCCACAGAGCTGTGAGTGTGTGCTGATAAAGCTGAATATGTCACTTATTGACATTTACACATACAGACCGAACAACAGCCTTGCTTCAAGCAACAATTCCTCTGAATTGTTTTCATTTGTGAATCTGCAGGTATACTCCTCAGACCATTGAACTAGACCACAAGCTGAAACCCTTTATACCTGACTTCATCCCAGCAGTCAGAGACATTGATGCCTTCCTTAAAGTGAGAATTACCAAACAAACACATTTTCTCTTAGCTTCAGCATTTCTTTTATGGTGCTAGTTGTTTCCTTCCCTGCTTGAAGGAATCACATTGGTGAAATTTCCAATTAGGTGTAAACTTTGTGTTTTCTAATCTAATAATGTAATGATCAGTGGATACATCAAAAGATACAGGGGAGAAGGTGGAATGTATTAATAAGCTATCTGAGCTGGGCTACTGTCAATGACTGTGTTCCATTGTAACCTCAGGTCCCACGTCCTGATGGCAAAGCAGACAACCTGGGGCTGTTGGTCCTGGATGAGCCCTGCACCAAGCAGTCAGACCCCACCGTCCTGTCACTGTGGCTCTCTGAGAACAGCAAGCGGCACAACATCACAAGTACAACACTATACAACAACTATAACACAGTACAGCTTTATAAACCCCCCACAGTCAGGCGCCATTTAGATGTCCATGACATACAGTAGACTGACCAGGTGAATCCAGGTGAAAGCTATGATCCCTTATTGATGTCACCTGTTAAATCTATTTAAATCAGTGTAGGTAAAGGGGAGGAGACAGGTTAAAGAAGGATGTTTAAGCCTTGAGACAATTGAGACATGGATTGTGTGTGTGCCATTCAGAGGGTGAATGAGATTTAAGTGCCTTTGAACGGGGTATGGTAGTAGGTGCCAGGCGCACCGGTTTGAGTGTCAAGAAGTGTCAACAGTTTCCCGTGTGTATCAAGAATGGTCCACCACCCAAAGGACATCCAGCCGACAGCAGGTCAGTGGTCAAAAACGGGTCATTGATGAAAGAGGACAAAGGAGGCTGACAAATTGTGCAGAGCAACAGACGGGCTACAGTTAATCAACTGACAGTCCAGTACAACATTCGTGCCCAAAGTACCTTGACACAAATGGGGTATGGCAGCCGACGACCTTAGAGTTCCACTTCTTAACAAAACAAGAAACTGTGGTTGCAGTGGGCTAAGGAACAAAAACACTGGACACTGGAGAATTGGAAAAACATTGCCTGGTCTGATGAATCCTGGTTCCTGCTGTTTCACGCTGATGGTAGGACTAGGGTATGGACAAAACCACATGAGTACATGCATCCATCATGCCACGTGTCAACATTGCAGGGTGGTGGTGTGGATTGTGTTTTCATGGCACACATTGGGCCCAATGTTCCCTCTAAGCTGCTCGCGTGCGCGGCCGCACAGAGACGCAAGAGATTGAACTTCACTGAGTTCACCCTATTAGTTTGCACTATATAGATCAATGTTTTTTCTGTGATCGAATCAATATTATATCAGCACCTTTTCAATGCAACAAACCAAAACAAATATAACTTTGGAAAATTGAGTCTGTGATTTTGTTTTAGGTAGAGCCCGTGCGCAACGGAGTAGAATTCTATTGGCGGGGGTAGCCCACGAGCGGTCTTTCAATCACCCACGAGTGAATGCGCTTTTCAGATCAGTTTAGAGCTGCGCGTGTGCACAATCGTTGATATTCTTTGCTAGTCAGCGAGTTATTAGCCCAGTTATAGATAATTATAGGTCAGCAATGGGGAGTTACTGCTTCCTACAAGAGCACAAAACATGTAGGCTACATTTCAAGCTGTCTTTGAAAAGCCAGTCAGGTAAAAAGCTTATGTCTTAATTAAAGGGGCAGTGTTATATTTTGAGACAGGCTTGAATATGCAAATAAGCCAATAGGCAGAAGGGTAGCCTACGTTGCCTAATTGTTTGTATGGTAATAATAATACATTTTATTTTGTAAAGTGGTTTCTTGCATCATACAACACAATTCAATGCAATTTACAGTCACCAAATTGGCCCACTGTCACACCCTGGCTCTGGGGACTCTATATGTTGAGCCAGGGTGTGTAGATTCTATGTGTTCTAGTTCTGTGTTGTAGTTCTATGTGTTCTATTTCTATGTTGGCCAGTGTGGTTCTCAATCAGAGGCAACGAGTGTCAGCTGTGGCTGGTTGTCTCTGATTGGGAACCACATTTAAACAGGCTGTTTTCCCACAGTAGTTGTGGGATCTTGTTCCGTTTGGTTTGTTCCGTGTTGGTTGTTTAACCTAGGACATCACGTTGTTCGTTTATTGTTTTGGTCTTGTTATCACTAAAGATAATAAAGTATGTTCGTTCATCACGCTGCGCCTTGGTCTACTCCGTTCAACGATCGTGACAGAAGATCCCACCATACCAGGACCAAGCAGCGTGTCCAGGAGCAGGCGGCCTGGACATGGGAGGAAGCGCCGGGAAAGGAGCTGGAGAGGTTGGCGATGGCCCAGGTGGGCCAATTGTGGTCCTGGGAGGACATGCTCGGGGGCAAAGGGCCATGGGCTAAGGTTAAGGCCCTGGCGAGAGAGGAGCAACGGCGTCAACAGTGTCGTCGTCGGACGGACGAGAGGCAACCCCAGAAAATGTTTAGGGGGGGGAACACGGCATGGGCGACTGGGCAGCAGGAGGCTGCCACAGGGCAAAATGGGAGATTAGGAGAGGAGGCCACCGGGTTTGGGGGGCCAGAAGGCAGGTTGGCGGAGCCTGGATGGAGAGCAGAGCCAACTCCCCGTACTCAGGCATGGCAGCATGAGACTGGGCAGGTTCCGGGGTATGCGGAGCTGCGTACTGTGCCACGAGTGGTCCGGCATAGTCCGGTACGTCCTGTGCGAGCACCCCGCACGTGTCGTGCGAAGGTGGGCATGCAGCCAGGACGGAGTGTGCCGGCTCAGCGCTCGTGGTCTCCAGTGCCTCTCCTCGGTCCCGGATATCCTGCGCCAGTGTCACGTGCTGTTATGCCAGTACGGGTACACAGCCCTGTACGTCCTGTGCTGATGCCTCACACAGAGTGTGTGAAGGTAGGCATTCAGCCAGGACGGGTTGTGGCAGCTCTTCACTCCAGGCCTCCTATCCGTCTCCACAGCCCGGCCCGGCCTGTTCCTGCCACTCGCACCAAGCCTACGGTGCGCGTCGCCAGCCCGGCCTGGCCTGGCCTGTTCCTGCCACTCGCACCAAGCCTACGGTGTGCGTCGCCAGCCCGGTCCGGCCTGTTCCTGCCACTCGCACCAAGCCTACGGTGTGCGTCGCCAGCCCGACCTGTTCCTGCCCTTCGCACCAAGCCTACGGTGCGCATCGCCAGCCCAGCCCGGCCTGTTCCTGCTCCCCGCACCAAGCTAATGGTGCGCGTCGCCAGCCCGGCCCGGCCTGTTCCTGCCACTCGCACCAAGCCTACGGTGCGCGTCGCCAGCCCGGCCCGGCCTGTTCCTGCCACTCGCACCAAGCCTACGGTGCGCATCGCCGGCCCGGCCTGTTCCTGCCACTCGCACCAAGCCAGGGGTGCGAGTCGTCAGCCCGGTCCGGCCCGTTGCTGCTCCACGCACCAAGCCAGGGGTGCGCATCGTCAGCCCGGTCCGGCCCGTTCCTGCTCCACGCACCAAGCCAGGGGTGCGCATCGTCAGCCCGGTACGGCCCGTTCCGGCTCCACGCACCAAGCCAGGGGTGCGCATCGTCAGCCCGGTCCGGCCCGTAGCTGCTCCACGCACCAAGCCAGGGGTGCGCATCGTCAGCCCGGTCCGGCCCGTTCCTGCTCCACGCACCAAGCCAGGGGTGCGCATCGTCAGCCCGGTCCGGCCCGTTGCTGCTCCACGCACCAAGCCAGGGGTGCGCATCGTCAGCCCGGTCCGGCCCGTTCCTGCTCCACGCACCAAGCCAGGGGTGTGCGTCGTCAGTCCGGCACAACCCGTGCCTGGGTCACCGGTGCCTGGTCAGGTACCGGTCAGCTGCTCCACACCGGAGCTTAAGCAATCCGCTCCTACGATGTCCAGTCCAGCTCCAGCCAGCGGGGCCAGACGGGACCAGGGGCGCTACGGGGGGATTATTGGAGGGTGGTGGGCAAGCCCGGAGCCGGAACCGCCTCCGAGGAGGAATGCCCACCCAGCCCTCCCCTGTTTGGTTTATGTTGAGGCGCGGTCGCAGTCCGCGCCTTTGGGGGGGGGGGGGGGGTACTGTCACACCCTGGCTCTGGGGACTATATGTTGAGCCAGGGTGTGTAGATTCTATGTGTTCTAGTTCTGTGTTGTAGTTCTATGTGTTCTATTTCTATGTTGGCCAGTGTGGTTCTCAATCAGAGGCAACGAGTGTCAGCTGTGGCTGGTTGTCTCTGATTGGGAACCACATTTAAACAGGCTGTTTTCCCACAGTAGTTGTGGGATCTTGTTCCGTTTGGTTTGTTCCGTGTTGGTTGTTTAACCTAGGACGTCACGTTGTTCGTTTATTGTTTTGTTCTTGTTATCACTAAAGATAATAAAGTATGTTCGTTCATCACGCTGCGCCTTGGTCTACTCCGTTCAACGATCGTGACACCCATGGTGTTACAGACCTAGTAAAAAGTAATTAAATCAAATCAAATCAAATCAAATCAAATTTTATTGGTCACATGCGCCGAATACAACAGGTGCAGACATTACAGTGAAATGCTTACTTACAGCCCTTAACCAACAGTGCATTTATTTTAAACAAAAAAAGTAAGAATAAAACAACAACAAAAAAAGTGTTGAGAAAAAAAGAGCAGAAGTAAAATAAAGTGACAGTAGGGAGGCTATATATATACAGGGGGGTACCGTTGCAGAGTCAATGTGCGGGGGCACCGGCTAGTTGAGGTAGTTGAGGTAATATGTACATGTGGGTATAGTTAAAGTGACTATGCATAAATACTTAACAGAGTAGCAGCAGCGTAAAAAGGATGGGGTGGGGGGGCAGTGCAAATAGTCCGGGTAGCCATGATTAGCTGTTCAGGAGTCTTATGGCTTGGGGGTAGAAGCTGTTGAGAAGTCTTTTGGACCTAGACTTGGCACTCCGGTACCGCTTGCCGTGCGGTAGCAGAGAGAACAGTCTATGACTAGGGTGGCTGGAGTCTTTGACAATTTTGAGGGCCTTCCTCTGACACCGCCTGGTATAGAGGTCCTGGATGGCAGGAAGCTTTGCCCCAGTGATGTACTGGGCTGTACGCACTACACTACCCTCTGTAGTGCCTTGCGGTCAGAGGCCAAGCAGTTGCCATACCAGGCGGTGATGCAACCAGTCAGGATGCTCTCGATGGTGCAGCTGTAGAATTTTTTGAGGATCTGAGGACCCATGCCAAATCTTTTTAGTCTCCTGAGGGGGAATAGGCTTTGTCGTGCCCTCTTCACGACTGTCTTGGTGTGTTTGGACCATGATAGTTCGTTGGTGATGTGGACACCAAGGAACTTGAAGCTCTCAACCTGTTCCACTACAGCCCCGTCGATGAGAATGGGGGCAAGCCCTTCATAAGGTAAAAACGTTTTTAAAAGTCTTATGCAGTGTAAGCCTGCATTGAACACCACATATAGGCAACTGTAGGCTATATCATTGAAATCAAAAGCTATTTCCATGTGAAAATGTTATGGGATTTGCGCCATTGGGTTTTGTTGGTAGACCTACATTATGCTCAAATAGCCACAATAGCCTATTGGCTACTGTCTAAAACTGTAAGGGTACAGCCTCAGTGTTCACTGTAAACGCATGCTGGAAGTTGCACACATTTCTCACAATGTTCAAGTTTCCACTCACAAGACCAAACATTTGCTCAGTGCCCCCCAAAATTTGAGGGAACATTGATTGGGACCCTTGATAAACGTGGAGCAACGTTAGACTGCCACAGGATATCTGAACATCATTACCAATCAGGTGCATCCCTTCATGGCAGTAGTGTATCCATCTGCGAATTGATTTTTTCAGCAGCATAATGCCCCATGCCACAACGCTTGAATTGTCCAGGAATGGTTCCACGAACATGACAGTAACCTCACGAGTGGCGCAGTGCTAGCTGTGCCACTAGAGATCCTGGTTCGAATCCAGGCTCTGTCGTAGCCTGAGACCCATGGGGTGGCGCACAATTGGCCCAGCGTCGTCCAGGGTAGGGGAGGGAATGGCCGGCAGGGATGTAGCTCAGTTGGTAGAGCATGGCGTTTGCGACGCCAGGGTTGTGGGTTCGCTTCCCACTGGGGGCCAGTATGAAAAATAAAAAAACTATGTATGCACTCACTAACTAACTGTAAGTCGCTCTGGATAAGAGCGTCTGCTAAATGACTAAAATGTAAATGTTAATTCAGCTTATTGCAGTGGCCTGCCCAGTCACCATATCTCAATACAATTGAGCATCGGTGGGATGAGATGGAATGAGCGATTTGGAGTAGAGATCCACTACCAGCCAACTTGACACAACTGTGGGAGGCATTGGGCCAGCATCCCCGTGGAACCGTTTCGACACCTTGTAGAGTCCGTTCCCCGAAGAATTGAGGGTGTTCTGAGGGCAAAAGTGGGTGCAACTCAATATTAGGAAGGTGTTTCTAATGTTTTGTACCCTCAATGTTTATCACACTATGCACATAACTATGGGTACTGCTTTGAGAGAGACAGACAGACACTGCAAATCAATCGACCTTCTTTCCATGCGCTGCTCAGGAGGTAAAAGTGAAAAGTGTGGAGAACCCAGAGAAGAATCCCAAAGCCATTGAGAACTGGATGGAGAGCATTAGTGAGCTCCATCGCTCCAAAACCCCCCACCACTGTCCACTACACCAGGCAAGTGTTTACTTTACCTCACTGTACTGCTGCTGCCCTAGCCTAGTCTCAGATCTGTTTGTGCTGTATAGCCAACTCCAAAACAAATGTTTGGCATGACAACGACCATAAGAGTTGGCTATACAGCACAAACAGATCTGGGACCAGGCTAGAACTGGCATGAGGAGCATTAGTCCATCCATACTGCCACAGACTCTGACCATTATCTGATTCTGAGTCAGTTCAGTTATTCATGTGAAGGTGAATAGACAACGGCTCCCTGCCAAACTTCCAGTATCCACATTAGCATACTACTAAGAAGGAATGTATCAGGCATGTGGTGTTTTTGAATTTGAATAGCTGCTTGGAATGGTTAGTCCCCAACCTGCTCATTGATTTGATATTTGACCTGCTAGCTAGCCACTTCCTGTCTGTCATTTCCTGTTTAGCAATGAATGTCTAATCCCACTTTCAAAACAACTGGGAACTCGGAAAAAACTAGCTCCGACTGGGAAAATCGTTTTGAACGGTCATCCAACTCGGAATTCGAAGTCGGAAACTCTGGCATCTTTCTACAACGCCGTCTTTCTGACCTGAAGATCACTGACGTCATGATTTGAACTTGATTTTTTTGTTCCCAGTTGTCTTGAAAGCACCATAATTGCGACCTGAATTATACACACTGTGACCAAGGTTCATTTTTATACTTCCACATTTCATATTTGTTCTGACGGTGGCCCACAGTGCATTTCCACAGCAAGTTTTACTAAAGAAGCTTTCTTTTCAACTTTGCGTGTCATTCAAGAGTTTCTAAATCTCGTCTTCACTTTAGTTTTCTCCTAAATTCATGCACTTTGGTTGGACAGCGAGGTAGCAGCAGTCTTCCCTTCTTTTGAACAGAAAGCAAAAGCCCAACCATTGTCAAAGCTGTTTTCTGTTTTTCCTCTTCCTCAAAACCCTTCCTCACCTTTTTCTAGGTTAGCCTACCAACGGCCGATATCAACTGTGATCTGACCGAGTACATTGATGTCATATGTGTGAGTTTTTCACCATCTCTGCACACAACGCATTCAACAACATCTGTCTGCTTGTATAACACGTTTGGGTAACACAGCGAGGGACTATCTGGACATTTTTTTTCTCGGTGTACCTTTATGAAAACAACCCTTTATTAATTTTTTTCTCTCTTAAAGGCATCCTTGACATCCCCGTCTACAAGAGCTGGATTCACTCACTCCATGTGCTGTTCACCCTTTACTCTGAGTTCAAAAACTCACAGGTACCACAGTGTTTACTCCCTTAACCTTTCAGTTCAGTAGGGCCCATCAGGATGAACAAGTGTGCCATGCCTGCTGTGATTGTCATGTTCTTTCAATAGTTTATTTCTGACAAAATGGTTAAAAAGCCACTTTCATTTGTTTATTTGGATCCCCATTAGCTTTTGTAGAAGCAGCAGCTACTCTTCCTGGGGTCCACAAAAAACATAAAACATGACAAGTAACAAAACACTGATAGACAAGGACAGTCACATTTTAAAATACATCAATATATAAATATATATATATACAAACAATATAACTAAAATGTAATGTGTGTTCCCTCACAGTCCCTGCCGTTCCATGAGATGTTGTTTAATCCGTTTTTTTATTTATTTTGCGGTTTGCTTGAGTAATTGTTGATGGGCGTTCCATACGATCTTGGCTCTGTATAATACTGTGCGTTGCCGTGAATTCGTTTTGGACTTGGGGACTGTAAAGAGACCCCTGGTGGCATGTCTTGTGGGGTATGTATGGGTGTCTGAGCTGAATGTTATGTTAATATTATTATGCAGACAATCTGGAATTTTCATCACAGTAATATTTCTTATAAAAACTAGAAGAGAAGCAGTTAATCTCTCGTGAACTCTCAACCAGGAAAGACTGGCATGCATGTTGTTGATGTTAGTTCTGTATGTGCAGTTAAGGGCAAGGTGTGCTGCTCTGATCTGAGCCAGCTGCAGCTTTGCTAGGTCTTTCTTTGCTGCACTTTACCATATTCCTGGACAGTAATCAAGATGGGACAAGACCAGAGCCTGAACAACTAGTACAGTTGACTTTTGTGACAAAAACGCAGAACATCTTTTAATAACAGACATACCTCTCCCCATCGTCACAACAACTTTGTCAATATGACTTGACCATGATAACAGACCATACAATGTTATACCTAGGAGGTTAGCTTCCTCAACTTGCTCAATGGTCACGCCCTTTATGCACAACTCCAGTTGAGGTTTAGGTCTTAGAGAATGTTTTGAAGCAAATACAATGCGTTTAGTTTTAGATGTATTTAAGACCCGTTTATTATTAATCACCCATTCTGATACTGACAGTAACTCCTTATTTAGAATTTCAATGAGCTCACTGGCTTTGGGTGCTGACAAGTTTCAAAGAACAGCACCATAAACAATCAAATTATTTGTCCTTGTTTCAGCATTTCAAAGCCTTAGCGGAGGGTCAGAAGTCGGACACTCAGTCAGCTCCTCGCTCCGCCACTGGAGAGCTAGACACACTAGCTTTGACTGAGGACAGACAACTGACGCCTGTAGGGCCCCAAACATCCAAGTGACCAGACATTACCAAGGCTCCTCCATCCATGAAACTGTTTAGTTGTGTCCCAAAAGGCACCATATTAAAAGGCCATTTGGGATGCAGTGGAGCATGTGTTTTAACAGACAAAGCAACCTGGATCCTATGCTTTCACTTTCCAATAGTGTTAGATCAATGATAACTGTGCTTTGTGGAAAGGGGGAAGGAATGATTAATTTAGATGTATGTAAATGTTTGTAAATATTAAGTTAAACAACTTTATACAAAATGCTTTTCTAAGATACTCTTATGCTGAAAAAATTGCATTGTTTTCTATTTCAAGTAGTATTTGGTGTGTTTAGTACTTCTTATTATTAAATGAATAAATATTTGTACATGATAGAAGCTGCATTTATTATCTATATTAATTATCTGTGAATAATGGAAAGGGAAAGGGGTACCTAGTCAGTTGTACAACTGAATGCATTCAACTGAAATGTGTCTTCCGCATTTAACCCAACAATGTAGCATGTTTATAGTAGTTTTAACTTCAGGACTCCTTACTGGAATGTTTCTGTTTTTAAATGGTATGTAGAGTAGACTAGTGAGTGATACATGTCCATTGGTGAAACATTTCCAAATCATCCAAGTGTACAGGACTGTCCTACACTAAAATGTAGAGGTAAAGGTCAACTGAACTGTGTGTCCTGATAAGCATGACTAAACTCATTTTCCATACTCGGGATCTCATATGCGTATACGCATATCTCAGTGAGATATATATATATATATATATACAGTGGGGAAAAAAAGTATTTAGTCAGCCACCAATTGTGCAAGTTCTCCCACTTAAAAAGATGAGAGAGGCCTGTAATTTTCATCATAGGTACACGTCAACTATGACAGACAAATTGAGAAAAAAAAATCCAGAAAATCACATTGTAGGATTTTTTATGAATTTATTTGCAAATTATGGTGGAAAATAAGTATTTGGTCACCTAAAACAAGCAAGATTTCTGGCTCTTACAGACCTGTAACTTCTTCTTTAAGAGGCTCCTCTGTCCTCCACTCGTTACCTGTATTAATGGCACCTGTTTGAACTTGTTATCAGTATAAAAGACACCTGTCCACAACCTCAAACAGTCACACTCCAAACTCCACTATGGCCAAGACCAAAGAGCTGTCAAAGGACACCAGAAACAAAATTGTAGACCTGCACCAGGCTGGGAAGACTGAATCTGCAATAGGTAAGCAGCTTGGTTTGAAGAAATCAACTGTGGGAGCAATTATTAGGAAATGGAAGACATACAAGACCACTGATAATCTCCCTTGATCTGGGGCTCCACGCAAGATCTCACCCCGTGGGGTCAAAATGATCACAAGAACGGTGAGCAAAAATCCCAGAACCACACGGGGGGACCTAGTGAATGACCTGCAGAGAGCTAGGACCAAAGTAACAAAGCCTACCATCAGTAACACACTACGCCGCCAGGGACTCAAATCCTGCAGTGCCAGACGTGTCCCCCTGCTTAAGCCAGTACATGTCCAGGCCCGTCTGAAGTTTGCTAGAGTGCATTTGGATGATCCAGAAGAGGATTGGGAGAATGTCATATGGTCAGATGAAACCAAAATAGAACTTTTTGGTAAAAACTCAACTCGTCGTGTTTGGAGGACAAAGAATGCTGAGTTGCATCCAAAGAACACCATACCTACTGTGAAGCATGGGGGTGGAAACATCATGCTTTGGGGCTGTTTTTCTGCAAAGGGACCAGGATGACTGATCCGTGTAAAGGAAAGAATGAATGGAGCCATGTATTGTGAGATTTTGAGTGAAAACCTCCTTCCATCAGCAAGGGCATTGAAGATGAAACGTGGCTGGGTCTTTCAGCATGACAATGATCCCAAACACACCGCCCGGGCAATGAAGGAGTGGCTTCGTAAGAAGCATTTCAAGGTCCTGGAGTGGCCTAGCCAGTCTCCAGATCTCAACCCCATAGAAAATCTTTGGAGGGAGTTGAAAGTCCGTGTTGCCCAGCGACAGCCCCAAAACATCACTGCTCTAGAGGAGATCTGCATGGAGGAATGGGCCAAAATACCAGCAACAGTGTGTGAAAACCTTGTGAAGACTTACAGAAAACGTTTGACCTGTGTCATTGCCAACAAAGGGTATATAACAAAGTATTGAGAAACTTTTGTTATTGACCAAATACTTATTTTCCACCATAATTTGCAAATAAATTCATTAAAAATCCTACAATGTGATTTTCTGGATTTTTTTTCCTCATTTTGTCTGTCATAGTTGACGTGTACCTATGATGAAAATTACAGGCCTCTCTCATCTTTTTAAGTGGGAGAACTTGCACAATTGGTGGCTGACTAAATACTTTTCCCCCCCACTGTATATATATATGTATAATACAATATATACAAAAGTATGTGGATTCGGCTATTTCCGCCACACCCGTTGCTGACAGGTGTATAAACTCGAGCACACAGCCATGCAATCTTAATAGACAAACATTGGCAGTAGATGGCCTTACTAAAGAGCTCAGTGACTTCCAAAGTGGCACCGTCATAGGATGCCACCTTTCCAACAAGTCAGTTTGTCACATTTCTGCCCTGCTAGAGCTGTAAATGCTGTTATTGTGAAGTGGAAACCTCTAGGAGCAACAACGGCTCAGCCGCGAAGTGGTAGATCACACAAGCTCACAGAACGGGACCACTGAAGCACGTAGCACGTAAAAACCGTCTGTCCTCTGTTGCAGCACTCACTACCAAGTTCCAAACTGCCTCTGGAAGCAACTTCAGCACAATAACTGTTTGTCAGGAGCTTCATGAAATGGGTTTCCATGGCTGAGCAGCCGCACACAAGCCTAAGATCACCATGCACAATGGCAAGCGTCGGCTGGAATGATGTAAAGCTCGCCGCCATTGGACTCTGGAGCAGTGGAAACGCATTCTCTGGAGTGTTGAATCACGCTTCACCATCTGGCAGTCCGACGGACAAATCTGGGTTTTGCGAATGCCTGGAGAACGCTACATGCCCGAATGCATAGTGCCAACTATAAAGTTTGGTGAAGGAGGAATAATGGTCTGGGGCTGTTTTTCATGATTTGGGCTAGGCCCCTTTGTTCCAGTGAAGGGAAATCTTAACACTACAGCAGACAATTACATTCTAGATGATTCTGTGCTTCCTTTGTGGCAACAGTTTGGGGAAGGCCCTTTCCTGTTTCAGCGTGACAATGCCCCCGTGCACAAAGCGAGGTCCATACAGAAATGGTTTGTCGAGATCGGTGTGGAAGAACTTGACTGGCCTGCACAGAGCCCTGACCTCAACCCCATCGAACACCTTTGGAATGAATCGGAACGCGGACTGCGAGCCAGACCTAATTTCCCAACATCCTTGCCTGACCTCATTAATGCTCTTGTTGCAGCAATGTTCCAACATCTAGTGGAAAGGCTGTTATAGCAGCAAAGGGGGGACCAACTCCATATTAATGCCCATGATTTTGGAATGAGATGTTCGATGAGCAGGTGTCCACATACGTTTGGTCATGTAGTGTATATAGCACATAATGCAAACCTCAAAAGGCACTGTAAACAGTTGCTTCTGTGCATCTTTGAGATTAATTAGCTATTTCAGGAGTGAAGACCCAGTTTGAAATATAAGCAATAAGTCCAATGTTCCAGCTTATAACATTTTAACCCATGTGTTATAATCACACTTACAGTGCCTTCAGAAAGCATTCACACCCCATTTTCCACATTTTGTTGTTACAGCCTGAATTTAAAATGTCTTAAATTGAGATTTAGTGTCACTGATCTACACACAATCAAAAAATGAAAAGCTGAAATGTATTGAGCCAAATAATGTATTCAACCCCTTTGTTATGGCAAGCCTAAATAGGTTCAGGAGTAAAAATGTGCTTAACAAGTCACATAATAAGTTGCATGGACTCATTCTGTGTTAATTAATAGTGGTAAAAAAAAAAAGTTTAATGTCTACCCCATCTCTGTACCCCACACATACAATTATCTGTAAGGTTCCTCAATCGAGTAGTGACTTTCAAGCACAGATTCAAGCACAAGACCAGGGAGGTATTTCAATGCCTCGCAAAGAAGGGCACCGATTGGTAGATAAAAAAAGCAGACGCTGAATATTCCTTTGCACATGGTGAAGTTATTAATTTGGCTTTGGATGGTGTATCAATACACCTAGTTACTACAAAGATACAGGCATCCTTCCTAACTCAGTTACCGGAGAGGAAGGAAACTGCTCAGGGATTTCACCATGAGGCCAATGGTGATTTTTAAAACGGTTACAGCGTTTAATGGTTGTGATATGAGAAAACTAACCTAAATGAAAGAGTGAATAGAAGGAAGCCTGTATAGAATACAAATATTCCAAAATATGCATCCTGTTTGCAACAAGGCACTTAAGTAATACTGCAAAATATGTGGCAAAGAAATTAGCTTTTTGTTCTGAATACAAAGCGTTATGTTTGGGGCAAATCCAACGCATCACTGAGTACCACTCTTCATATTTTCAAGCATGGTGATGGTCCTCTGTAGCTCAACTGGTAGAGCACGGCGCTTGTAACGCCAAGGTAGTGGGTTCGATCCCCGGGACCACCCCATACACACAAATGTATGCACGCATGACTGTAAGTCGCTTTGGATAAAAGCGTCTGCTAAATGGCATATTATTATGGGTATTCTTGTCATCAGCAAGCACTAGGGAGTTTTTTGGGATAAATAGAAAAGGAATAAAGCTAAGCACAGGCAAAATCCTAAAGGAAAACCTGGTTCAGTCTTCTTTCCAATAGACACAGAGACAAATTCACCTTTCAGCAGGACAATAACCTAAAACACAAGGCCAAATCTACACTGGAGCTGCTTACCAAGACAACATTAAATGTTCCTGAGTGGCCTAGTTACAGTTGTGACTTAAATTGGCTTGAAAATCTATGGCAAGACTTGAATATGGCTTTCTAGCAATGATCAACAACCAAC